AGAAATGGGACCATTGGCCTTACAGAGGGCAGCCCTGTCCCCATACTGAATCTTAAAGTTTTCACAGTGGGGAAGAAACACTGAACCTGAAGTCCTGGCTCTGAAACTGCCCCTAGACAGGCTCTAATGTGTACGACTGACTTCATAATCAAAACCATGTGTCCATAGACTGCATACACAGTGATATGTATGAGAGATATAACATGTAAGCATTGCTGAGAGGCACGACCATGCCCACGGAGGGAACTGAGCCCAGGTCTGCCCTTCTTAAGTAGTTCTTACCAGCCCTGGACTTGGAATCCCCTGCAGAGGCCAGCCTCTCAATTGGAATTTCTCTTCTGGCTTCCTGGACAGGCAATAGTCTCTAATGTTCATGGGCTCTGGCTCCCACCATCTGTGTGGAAGCTGAGCTGCTCACACCTGCCTTGGCAGACACAGGCAATAAAAGAACTGGCTGCATTTAGAGCCTGGTCCCTGCCCACCCGCTTTCTACCCTCTTCGACTTGGGTGAAGCTCAGAGGCAGGACACTGGGTCGTAACACAGCTTTTTCTCTGCCTGTCCTTGCTCAAGACTGCAGAGACGCTTTCCTCCAGCTCTTGTGGTCTACACACCCGTTACCAGGTACCTAGAAACAACCTGGAGTGCAGGGTTCCCTCTCAAGGGGCTGTTGTAAGTAGGACATACATACTACAAAAGACTAGCTGGGGGATGGTTCCGGGTGTTCCGTTAAACAACAGAAAGGGGCAGGTGAGAGGCTCAGAAGGTAAGAGTGCTTGCCACAAAGTCTGACAACCTGAGCTTGATCCCTGGGAACCACATGATTAGAGGAGAAATCCAACTCTGCAAGCTGTCCTCTGTCCTCCAACCTCCACACATGCACTGCGGCATACACACATGGGGGGGGGGGGGAGAGAGCGACAGAGAGAGAGAAGGAATAATGTACATGCTGTTAATGGTCTGCCCACCACCTGAACTGGGAACAGGAACCTCCTCCTCATTGCCGTGTTTCTCACAGCACCGTGATGTGGTAGAGGGTGTGCATGTATGCATGTATGCAGGTGCTCATGCATGTGAAAGCCAGAAGACAACCTCAGCTATTGTTCCTCAACCACCATCCATCCTGGGTTTTTTTTTTTTTTTTTTTTTTTTTTTTTTTTTTTTTTTGCCAGACAGGCTAGGATGGACTGACGGGTGATCTCCAAGAATCCATCCGCCTGCCTCTGACTTCCAAGTACTAACTGGGGTCACAGACACATACCACCATGCCTTTCTTTCTGACGGGGCGGGGTGGGGTGTGCTTGGGAGTTCCTAGGGACCACGATCAGGTGATCGCTGCCTGCAAGACAAGTGCTCTGAGATGTAAGTCACATCCCAGCCTGTGCTAAGTGGATGTGAGGATGCATCCCGTGGAGTCTCACAGGAGAGGCTATGAGGCCAGACAGACAGACAGACAGACAGACACACACACACACACACACACACACACACACACACACTCCTCCTGGGAGCCCAGGAGCCCCAACTGTCCACAGGAGGACTCCTCCCTTGGCACAGCCCTCCTTATAGGCACCCGCCAGGGGAAGGGGCTCCTACAGGCCCACAGCTACAATCTGGACGGCAGCTTCCCTCCAGCCAAAGCTCTCCGGCCATCACATCCCTGGGAAGAATGCTGGGAGCCCACACTGCTGACGCACAGCCCTCAGCCATGGAAGGCCCACATTTGCCACAACCTTTTGGTTTCCCGTGCTGTCTGATACCCACACCAGAAGGTCTTGAGTATCCAGCCCAAAGGGCCCCTCGGGCTCTGAAGTTGCATATAGCTATATAAAGCCGAGGCCACAGGGGGTGGCGGGGCTGCCAGACCCCAGGAGCAATTTGGCTGTTCTTGGCGATGACGTGGACCTTTCCCCAAAGCTTCAGCAGTTAGCCCCTCGGAGCAAGCCTGAATCATTCCCTCCAAACCTCAACCCCACCAGGCACACGTCATGCCCAGACTCCAGAGGGAGAGAAGGTGGCCCAGTCTCCCCTCTCTGGTAGAGATGTTTGGAATACCGCAGAGGAAGTTATCCCATGAGCCCGCTAGTCCCAGTCCTGCCACAAACTGAGTGCCCAGTCAGCTTCTCTCTCGGGGCCTCCACTTCTGCATCTGTATTGTGGGGACAGTAAAGCCTGCCCTGCTCCCCAGAAAGTGCCAGGAACCCCCAGAGAAATGAGCTCTGGGAGGACTGGAGATGGGACATAGGGAATCACTCTTGTTCTTTGAGAAGCCCAAAGCCAGTCTTGCTGCAGATTTCTTCGTGAGGACTTAAGAATTTACTGCCATTTTGCTCCATCTTTGCCACTGCCAGGACACATGAGCAGCTGCTAGTGGTCGTCAGTCTTTATAGGCAGCTTTCCCAGTCCCCCTTCTGTAGTCAGTGTCTCTTAGCGCTGGTGAGATGGTGAGAGGTTGGCAGCATGGCAGCGGTTAGCCCCGTTTCACAGCTAGGAAAACTGAGGCTTGGCTGGTCAAATTTCTCTAGACCATGCAGTAAGCTGGCGACAGGACAAGGATGGAGACCCAGCTTTGGGATTCTCAACTAAGTTCTCATCTCTTACCAGGCCCCTCCAAGTAGCCCTGGACCTCAGGGTTCCACTTGGAAGTGGGAAGTGCAGTGAGGGGTTCACCCAGGGCAGGCTGGGAGTGAGATCTGGAAGACATATGGAGACAGAGGTCCTAGGAGATGTGGTGGCTGTCCCAATCTAGAGCATGCCAGCACGCTGTAGCGGGTCCTCCTTGGGGTGTTGGCGCTCATCGAAGAACCCTACCCTCCTCCCTCTCCCTGGGAGAACGGAGCAGCACTGCCTACGGGATCTGTCCCAGAATTAAGTCGCCAAAAGTTGTCTAGACAAAGAGATTTTATAGGCCCAATTAACCCCTGCCCGTCAGACTCAGGCACACCTAATAAGGGGCTATATTTAGAGGCTGTCATTATCTGGCTCCCTGGAGAGAAACCTCAGCTCTCATTTCACAGACATTTCCTTTCTAAGGAAGCTCTGCCACGCCCCCTGCAGCCCGGCATCCTTTTCTGACAGCCTGGAGCTGGAACATCCGGCCATGAGGAGGCGCTGCTGTCCTGTGTAGTCACAGCCCCAGCGGCAGTGTGGTGGGCAGCTACTGTAAGAGCAGGGTCAGGAGGGCCCCTGCCTGCCTCCTCTGTCCCAGTCTTGTCTATTCTGCAATGCTCAGGGTCTGACAGCTTCGCTGTGGTGAGCTGGGGCATCCATCCCATGACAACACACTATCCCTAGAAAGGGTGTGTGTGTGTACAGTCCTGTGTTTGTGTGTGTACAGACCTATGTGCAGGTATTTGAGCAATTGTGCATGTGTGTATGTGTATACACTCCTATATACATGTGTTTGAGCACCCGTGCATATGTGTAGAGGCCAGAGATCAAGAGACGGTGTGTGTGTGTGTGTGTGTGTGTGTGTGTGTGTACACTATGTGCGGGTACTTGAGCACTCATGCATATGTGACTGTATGTGTGTATGTGAGTTGTGTGTGTACACTATGTGTGGGTACTTGAGCACTTGTGCATATGTGAGTGTGTGTGTGTGTGTGTGTGTGTGTGTGTGTGTGTACTATGTGCGGGTACTAGAGCATTCATGCATATATGTAAAGGTCAGAGATCAACCCTGGTGCTTTTTCCAGGCACCACGTACATTGCTCTTTGAAGGCAGTCTCTCCCTGGCCTGGAGCTTACTAATTAGGCCAGACTCCCTGACCACTGAGTCCCTGAGGTCCACTCCTCTCCACCGCCCCATCCAATGCTGAGGTTATAAGAATACACTGCCATTCCTGACTTTTAAATGTAAGTTCCAGGACTCAAACCTGGGTCCTCATCCTTGAGCAGTAAGCCCTTTACCAACTGGGCGGGCCATCTCCCCAGCTCAGAGGCCACCATTCTTAGCTCATCTTAGCTGTAAACCTTTGTGCAGAGAGTTGTGCTGATGCCCAAGGCCCAGAGGGCTCCAGGTGTACTGAAATCCACACTCTGATAGGTGGCAGGTGGCCATGTAGGCTTCATCTCAGGACACAGGCTCCTGTGGCCTCCTGGGATAATATTGCTCCATGGAGGTTAGGAATGAGCTATATAAGCCAAGAATGCGCATGTGGGCACCCTCAGAGCCATCATGTGCCGGTGGAATTCACCATCCACGGGGGACGCTATTGTATATATGTGTCCCCAACACCACAAGCTGTCCCTCTCTGCACTGTGTGTGGCTCATTTCCCTAGGAATGTGTGTTTGTGAGCAAGGTGTTCTCTTCCTGTGGGGTGGGAGGCTGCAGAGACTCACAAATGAAGTGGCTTCCACAGCAGGTTCTCCCACAGACATGGAGGCACGTCTGCCTCCTTCCTGGCTCTGGGGCAGACTTGTTCCTTGATCCTTCTAGACACCAGGGGCACCTGGTGTTCCCCAGTGTGGCAATAGCATCTTTGATGGCCTAGCCTCCTCTTCTCCCCGTGCCTCTTCTCTGTGTGTCCTTCATAAAGCCCCTGCATGGGTAATAGGGCCACTGGGACTGTCTCAAGCTGGAGCTTTGCCTTAAGTCCATCTGCAAAGGACCTCCCTCCGCATAACATCAGACAAGCACAGGTGGTTTCCCCGGTCCCTTCCTCCTTCTGCCTTAATGAGCCCTGAGCAATGCCCCTCAGCCACGCTGAGCAGCCGAAGGGCTTCCCCATGGGATGGAACGAGGCTCCTGCAGCTCCCCTGCACTGAGACCACCATCAGGCCCTCAGCTTCTCCCCTCCACCACCCCTCCTATGGACGCTGCAGGCCTTCACCTCTGAATCCCCAGACCTGGCACCAGACTCCCCAGCTTGGTACTGAGAGCCCAGCTTCCCTCATCAGGAAAGTCCTCCACCCCATTCCTCCTCCCCAGCCACCACCAAGGCCAGCCTTAGAGGAAAGAATGTCCCCCAACCACTTGGCTTCTCTCCTCTTTCTTCACAGGTTGGTTGTGGGTGCTCCACTGGAAACCAATGGCCACCAGAAGACGGGAGATGTGTACAAGTGTCCAGTAACGCAAGGCAACTGCACCAAGCTCAACCTGGGTAAGCAGCCACTGGCTTCTTCTTGACGGCCACTCAGGTACAGAGCAGGGTTTGGCACACACCCATGTCTGTAGTCACATGGTTCCTCTCAGTCCATGTTCCACACAGAACCGACACTGACAAACATCTACACTGACAGTCACCTGTCCCCGTCTCACTGTTTTGTGAGGTGCATCACTGGGCTCACACTGCAAACGAGCAGATGGCTCAGACAATAAAGCACTTGCCTTGCACATAGGAGGACCTGAGTTCAAACTCTAAGACCTACATTTAAAGAGAAAGCCAGGCACGGTGGTGCTCATTTGTAATCCCAGTGACGGGGGGGGGGGGGGACAGGTAGGCTGAGATAGGTATATTCTTGGAACTCATTGGCTAGCCAGCCTAGCATGTGTGGAAAGTTCCAGGCCAGTGAAAGACCTGTTTCAAACAAAAATAGGCAGTGCCCCAGGGAAGACACTGAAGGCTACGCTCTGACTGCCACATACACACATACACAGAGAAAGAGGGAGACAGAGACAGAGCGAGACAGAGGAGGAACCTGAGGCCTAAGAGACAGGGCATCTTTCACTCAGTCACTTAGCTCGCCATTCTACGGGAGCCGGCGCAGGTTTATGGCCACCCTGCAACCGTTGTACAGGACACAGGCCTCCAGTGTCACACTCTGCATCTTCTAAACCCACCTGCCGCCCACGTGCTCAGGACTTTCAGTTCCCGCATAACAAATGTGTTCGTGTTTCTGATCTTGAAACAGGAGTGTCAGCAGCTAGATCTGTGCCCGTGTGTCGTCAACAGCACACCAAGTGCGCCTGGGGGTAGGCCTGGCCACACCCTCCTAGACATTTCTGCTCACTCAGTTCCCACCACACAGAGTGAGATTGAACCATCCAACAGATGAGGAAGTGACAGGATGAGGAGGCAAGGGGACAGGCCCAGGGCCACCTGGCTTGTAAGCAGCATGCTAGGATTCCAAGCCCCTCAGCATAGCCACCCTGCACTCACCACGCAGCTGCGTGCCCAAATGGAAGCTTTTCCTCCTGGAAGTACTCTCCAGCCTGTGCTAGAGCTGGAGACATGCTGGACACACATACACATACATACATACATACATACACACACACACACACACCACTCCACTAAAAACTTCCATCTTGCTCTAAGGGCAGACAGATAGTGGTTGAGCTTGCTCTGCCCACAAAAGAGACAAAACCCTACATGGGCCACAAAGCCACAATTCTAGGGCCTTTCCTGGAAGACTGGCCTTCTCAAGCATTTTTTTCCCTCCTCCAGCAGGGTGCCTCTTGCCCTAGAAACTCACACAAGGATCCAAGTAGGAGGGCCCCAGCAGGGCAGTCGGCCCACAAGAAGAGATAGTTGTAGCTCTAGAGATAAACAGATGGAGGGCAAGGCCACCATCCAAGAGAAATCTCAAAGAGCTTGGATGCCTGGGGTTTCCAGTTGTCTGTCACATGATGCTGCAGGCTCCCAGGAACCCCCGGAGTGAAACCCCAGCACCTGCAGGGGCCTAAGCTTCAGTGAAAACACAGCAGAAGGGAGTCTGGTTGGTGGCTTCAGTGCTCCCATCATCCCCTTCCTGAGACACAGGCGAAGAAGGACTGACCTCAGAGGGCTTCCCCTCCCAGCTGGACAGTTCCCAGTGTGTCCTTGGGAAGCTTCGCATTAATCTCTGTGCCTCCGTTTCCTCAGGTGTAAAGAGGTAGACTTGATGGACCCTAGAACCTATTCTAGATCTGTTCTGCACCGTAAAGAGCACTGAATAGCTGGCTGGAATGTGGCCATTTGCAGAGTGCTTGCATAGGGTGCACATCTCCAGCATCTAACAGCCGAGGCGTTGGAGCTGTAATCTTAGCCCTTGTGAGACACAGACACAAGGACCAGAGGTGCAGGACCGTCCTTGGCTGCACAGTGATTTCTAAGCCAACCCGGGCTATATCAGAACCTATCCAAAAAAAAAAAAAAAAAAAAAAAAAAAAAAAAAAAAAAAAAAAAAAAAACACCTGAGAGAAGCAAGAGGGAAAAAGGGACCTGACAGCAGCTCTGCCTCCTCTCCAGGACAGTCTGTGCTGCAGTATAGCTGTCATAGTCACCTCTTTTGTTCTGGCCCTGGCCTGCCCCCAGCAGTCTCCAACACAACACAGTGCAGACTCTCGGGGACTGCAGACTCTCAAAGGCCACATCAGGGGACATGGGCTTAGAACTGACAGGTTCCAGCCTTTCCCACTCCTTGTCTCCTAAGTATGTCTACACACCCACCCACACACATAGACAAGCACACACACATAGACAAGCGCACACACATAGACATGTGCACACACATATACATGTGCACACACATGGGCATACACATAGGCACGTGCACACATGCATGCACACACATAGATGTGTGCACACGTACATGCACACATAACCACATGCACACATGCATCTACACACATATACACCTGCACATATACAGGCACACACACATAGACATGTGCACACACACATGCACACACACACACTTTGCTTCTAAGGACTCCAAGCTCTTTTCCATCCCTTCTGTGTTCTGAAAGGATACTCTAGAGGCCTTTCATTATGTGCTTGTCCTGTGGTTTCTGTACTGCCACAGAACTACCTGTCCCTACCACAGCTGGCTGAGGCCACCAGCTGCAGGGGGCTGCACCTTCAGCACATGATGGGCGGACAGGTGGGTGTAAAAGGGGTGCTGGAGGACTAACTTCAGATGGTAAGTGCTGCAGGAAGGGGTGAGTGGGTGGGTCCCTGTACAGAGAAGGCCACCTCTGCGGGCACTGTGCTATGCCTGAGGTGCAGTTAGTCGGCTGGAGAAGGCAGAGTTCTGGATGAGGAGGTGAAGGTGGTGCTGTGGTTTGCAGTGTAGCCTTGTGCAGTTTCTAGGACTCTGTGAGAGTCAGTGTGTTCATCTACCAGAAAGTGAGGAAGGACGAAGGATACATATGAGGAAGATCCGTGCTGTCCTCCGGGCGAACAAGGGCCATGGGCTCACCTCAGGTGACCTACTGCAGCAGGCCCTGGGCAGCAGACAAGCAGAAGTGGCTGTAGGTTGAGTATCTCTCCTCTGCTCCAGGCAGGGTCACTCTGTCCAATGTGTCTGAGAGGAAGGACAACATGCGTCTCGGCCTGAGCCTTACCACCAACCCCAAGGACAACAGCTTCCTGGTAAGATTATCATCCCACTGCTGACCCCAGCCTTCCCCCCTGCACAGACCCGCTGCACAGGGTGTGGGGAGACCTAGCTAAGCAGGCCCTGCATACTCCTTGCATGCGTGTCTCTTTCACCCCCCCAGATGGCCCAACCCTACTCAACAACACAGGCAGATCCTACATGGCCATGGGTCTTTCTATTGACTGGGCCCTTCGTTTCAGTGAACAGTCCAGAAAGGTAAAAGGATTGGGCCTTTCTGTGTCCATCCCTGGATAAGTGACACAGGAGCTGGACTCTCCTTCTTGGTGGCCTTGCCTCCTAAGGAAACTCATCTTTGGCCCTTGGCCAAGAGCCTGACACAGTGGTTTTGGCAACTCCACAGAGCAGAAGCATTCTTTGTCTTCTCCTCTTAGTAAAGTGTCCTTGGACCCCAGCCCTGGAAATTGGCCCAGTAAGGGCCTTTGCAGACGAGAGCTGGCCTAGCGACTCTTAGAAGACCCACTCCTGCAAATGAAGGGCTTCCTCGGACCCCATGGGGTGTATATGGAGTGGGCCAGTAGATGAAGGAAGAGCCACCACCCCAGATTATAGGGTGGAGTATGGGACAAGGATCCAACCTCCACTGTCACCCACTCTACCTGAAGCCAAGGGCCCAGCAGCAAGAGAGAGTTCAGTGAGACTCGGAGACCCCTCACACTAGGAAAGCTGTCTTGGGCCCTGGAGGTTGAAGCCAGGCCCTAGCCGAAGTCCTATGACTGTGCTGTGCTGCTTCGCAGGCCTGCAGCCCTCTCTGGTCTCATGAGTGTGGAAGCTCCTACTATACCACTGGCATGTGCTCACGAGTCAACTCCAACTTCAGGTTCTCCAAGACAGTGGCCCCAGCGCTTCAAAGTGAGTACCTTCACGGGGGCAGTCCAGGGAGGAGGCACAGGGCTCTACTCATGGCTACCTTGTACCTATAGAGCAGCATGCGGGCTCTGGGACTGCTTCAGCCCGCTGGATGATCCGAAAGGAGGGAGTCACTTCTCCTAACGTGGCAGAGGAGTCCCCTCTAGCTGGGCCACTCTAAGGTTCTCATCCCAGGCTGTCCTCCCCCACAGTGTGATGGTAACAAATTAGCTGAATTTATGAAAACCATCCTGGCATCCATAGAAACTCCCTGTAGAATTTTGAACATGGAGGAGGTTGCCAGGCCACCATGTCTAACAAGCCAGGCTAGGGTATCGTTCACTTAGACTGCAGTATGAATGCTGGTCCTTGACATCCTGCAGGGCAGAAGCCCATGAGCGGAGAGCCAAGGAGAACAAAAATAACCTGGGTGACAGTTCCACCAAGTCAGCGCTCCCGGGCAGCTTGCCCAGAGCCTCGTGGATGCAAAACCTCCCCCTCCCTCCCAAGTAAACTTGGGGAGCTAGAAGCCTAGACTTCTTGGCTCTGAGCCTCACCATTTCCTCTGGGCTAAACACCCTCAGAAAGCAGCTGTTGCTTGTTTATAGAGGGCGAGGGGATTAGCACCTCTGGCTCAGGCAGCCTCCCCTCAACACCCATTGCTGGGGGACAGGGAGGAGGAACATTGCCTAGTCAGCTGTCATCTGTGGGGTGGGGAGGCATGGGGTCCGTTCACACAGCCTTCCAGACAGTTCCAGGGCACAGCGGATGGTCCAGGCACTGAGTTTCTCAGGGGGTGGAGCATCACAGCCCTGACATTGCTGACTGCTACTGGCAGAGCCATCCTGCCCTGGTCTGGGGCATCAATCTCCTGGGACTTGGCAAATGTAGATTCCAAGGTGCCCTTTATGTAGTTTCTAACAAAGAGGGGCTTGGGAAAGGCTGAGGAGGGGTCTGTCGTGTTTACGGACCACAGACCTAAGTAAGACTGGGGAGATGGCTCAGCCAGCAAAGTGCCTACTGTACAAATGTGATGTCCTGAGTTCCATCCTCATCACCACATCAAAAGCTGTCACCCCAGCACAGAGGAGGCACCCTGGGGCTGGCTGGCCAAGTCAGCCTAGCAAACTCAGAGAGCTGCCAGTTCAGTGAGAGACCCTGCCTCAAAAAGATAAGGTGGAGAGAGATTGAAAAAGACAGCTGATATCAACACACACCCATACACATGTGCGCACACACACACACACACACACACACACACACACACACACACACCAAAAGCCCTCAGACCTGTAAACAGGTTCTTTTCTGTTTATTTTTAAGAATTTTAAGGTATATTTTAAGTACTTATTTATTAGACTGATCGGTTGATTGATTTTTTTCTTCTTGTTTGTTTTGGTTTGTATGGTTGGTTTGGGTTTTGGTTTTGATTTTTTGAGACAGGGTCTCTATATTCCCCTGACTGTTCTAGAATTCACTGATCTTGAACCCACAGAGATCCATCTGCCTCTGCCTCCCAAGTACTGGAATTAAAGGCTTGTGCCACCACACCCAGCAAGATTTATTTTTACAGCCTGGTCTACAAGAGCTAGTTCCAGGACAGGCACCAAAGCTACAGAGAAACCCTGTCTCGGAAAACAAAAACAAAAAACAGATTTATTTTTATTACATATGTATGAATATTTTGCCTGCATGCAGGTATGTATACAATGTGCATGCCCGGTGCCCATAGAGGCCAGAAAATGGCATTGAATGCCCTAGACCTGGAGTTACAGACGGTAAAGCTAATATGTGGGTTCTTGGAACTAAACCCAGATCCTTTGCAACAGCAACAAGTACTCTTAAGCACTCTCAAGCATCTCTCCAGCTCCACTACACAAGCTGTCCTTTTAAAAACAATGAAATTAAAAGAGAATCAAAATAATAAATTTCATGTCTCAGTGAGAGACTATTTCAAAACCCAAAGTGCGTGACTGTTGAGAAGGAAGGATACCCAGGTTGAGAGGGAGAGAGAAACAGAGACAGAGACAAGAGAACAAACTGGGCACAGTGTCAGGATCTGTAATCCCAGCACTGAGGAGGTAGGGTAGGAGGATTAGGAGTCCAAGGTAACCTCAGCTAAAGAGCTATTTCCAGGCCAGCCTAGACTACCTGAGATCTTACCTTTAAGAAAGGGAGTATAAATAGGATCATCTAAGGCTTAGTGAGCTCTTGTCTTTAGAAATGTCTTCCCATCAACCCTTAACGACAACTCTTAGTTCAGTGATCATGCTGCTCCTCCAGCACAGAAACCTGAAAGTGACTGCCCGCAGCCCACACGGCGGGTGAGTGGCAAGGCCTAGAGCTGACACCAGACAGCACATTCCCAGTCTTTCCTTGATGATTCCTTCGTAAAACACGAAATCCATTCATCCAGGTTGCTAGTGGAAGATACCACCTGCCCACAGCAGTAAAGGAAACAGCCCAAGACCCTGATTCCGGCAATGGCAGTGGCCGGGGAAGCACTGGATCAGTCAATAACCATCAGTCTCTGACGTGGAGCAAAGAGATCAGGCTCCATTTCAGCTCTGTTCAAACAGCCCATGGGTAGTGACATGGAACCAGGACATCTTAGCTGCCTTGCTTATATGACTCAAATAAATGTCCGGCCTGAGGACAACTCTCCGTGCAGGAGATGACAGATATCAGCAATCATTCTTCCGTTGGTCTCTAAAAGATCATTCAGAACATAAGAGATTTGGGCCTGGGGACATAGCTCAGCTGGTGGAGTGCTCGCCCTGCGAGCATGAGGCCTGGGCCCCCGTGTAGAAAGCCAGACATGATGATGCTATTCAATCCCAGCACTGAGGAAGCCGAGACGGACAGACGCCCGGGGCTTACTGCCAGCCCCCCAAGCTCACAGTAACAAAAATAGGACAGACCCTGTAAAAAAGAAATAAGGAGAATGGCTCCTGAGAACCACACTTGAGACTGACCTCTGACCTCTATACACACATACATACACACACACACACCAACACATACACACACAAAAAGGTTTCTTAAGTGAGTAAGAATGTTGGAGATTTATGGACGCTGGTTCCCTGATGGTCCTGATTGTATCCCTGCCTCCAGGGTGCCAAACCTACATGGACATCGTCATTGTCCTGGACGGCTCCAACAGCATCTACCCCTGGGTGGAGGTCCAACACTTCCTCATCAATATCCTGAAAAAGTTCTACATTGGCCCTGGCCAGATCCAGGTGAGTGTCTCCAGGGCTCGCCTCTGCTGAGCAAGGTCCCCGAAAATCCATGGCCTGAGTGACCCCACAGCACTGGGCAGCATCTTCCCATGAAAGGGTAGGAGCTGGTAAGCCCAGCCAGCCCTGAGACTTGCTGCCTCACGTGCCCGTTTCTGGTGGGCACAATGAGGATGCCTTTCAGGGGATGAATCCACTTATGAAGATGACCAGAAGTCAGGAGAGGTGGGGAGGCATAGAAAGGTTGTGTAGAGACGCTGGGGGACATCAGGCATGGGGGTGCTGGGAAGAATGGACTTGGAGTAGACTAGCCACCAGCACATCTGGGAAACATTGATGGATAAGGGCTACGTTTATTTCCCAGTATTTTGTCTGGATGAGGACTAAGAGACAGAAGTGCCAAAGTAGCAGGTGTCAATTCTAAGAAATTCTTTCTATGCCAGAAGAGTAACCTGATATCCAGAAAGAATCCACGCTAGGCATGGTGGTGTGTTTATAATCCCAGTGCCGGGAAGGCAGAGGCCAGGCAGTCTGGCCTAATTGGTGAGCCCCAAGTCAATGAGATACCCTGTCTCAAAAGAGGTGGGTGGAAGTACTGAAGATGACACCTGAGAGTTTCCTCCAGCTTCCCTAATATCACACATGCAAACACATACACAGCCCACACACATACACATAACCTCACACACATGTACCACACACTACATGCACACACACATACATACCCGCATACAACACACACATATGCCAAACACATTGCACACACATAAAATACACACTCACACCCACATACAACACACTCAACACACACACAAAGGTCTTCTTAAGAAACCTGGTAGCTAACAGTGTTGATAAAAGGGAGCCAAGTCCTACAGTGACAAGCCCCCTCAGACCAGAAGATGGTCTTTGATGACCTGGGGTAAGCAGCCAGCATTCAAAGGGTTCTTGGACCCAATAAACTTGGTGGGCCCACTCAACAGTAACACTATCACCAAGTCCCTGAAACCAGTCTCTATAGCTTGGTGTTTATTTTGAAACTATTAATAGTGCTGAAACATTATCCACTTTGAAAATGTCAGACCTCTTCTCATCCAAGTTTCAGGGACTCTTTGTTATAGAGCTTGGTCAACAGCCGTATGGTCCTGGTAAATTCTGATAAACCCATACACTTCTCCTGAAAAATTCTGGGGAGTGGGAACTTGGGTTGGGGTTGGAAGTGGGGCCTGGGGTGTAGGAATGTATGTGTATGTGTTCATGTACATATGTGCATATAAACATGCAAGTGTGTGTGTGCGCGTGCACACGCATGTGTGTGTGTAAGCCAGAAGTTGATGCCAGGTGTCCATTTTTGAGGCTGGGTTTCTCATTGAACCTGTAGCTCACCGGTTTGGCTGGGCTGACTGGCCAGAGAACTCCAGGGATCCGCCAGTTTCTGCCTTGCAGATACCACCACACACAGCTTTTAAACAGGCACTGAGAGTCTAAACTGTACTAGCACGTCAAGCTAGTACAGTATCAACTGTAGTATCAACTGGAGCTCTCCCCAGACCCAGCTCCTGATGCTCTAGACTTCTAGTCTGTGTTCATTCTCCATCTTCTTAAGGAAGATGTTCAACCCGATGAGCTTTCCCTCTCATCACCAAGTCCCTTTCTCTCTGTGGCCCTGATTTGTTCTATCAAGCCATCCGTTCATCCCCAGAACAGCCTGTTTCCCTCGGGCGGTGGTTTCCTCTGGTAAGGACTCCTGGGAGAGGGGACCCTCACAAATGGAAGTCTGAGCGTCATGGTTCTGCTACCCTCTGCTTTGGTTTGCAGGTCGGAATAGTTCAGTATGGAGAAGATGCGGTACATGAGTTCCACCTTAATGACTACAAATCTGTAAAGGACGTGGTGGAAGCCGCCAGTCACATTGAGCAGAGAGGAGGGACAGAGACCCGCACAGCATTTGGCATTGAATTTGCACGGTAAAAAAAAAAAAGTGTGTGTGTGTGCATATATATGTATGCAAATCTCAGATACTGTTTGGACTACTCCTGCTATGTTCCCACCATTTGGTGCTTTCAAACAGCCAAGTTCTGATGGCGGGCTGGGCTTAGTTGCTTAGTTCTCTCTTGGGTCCTCTCACTTGGTTATGTTCTGGTGCCTGCTAGAATGGCTGTCACCCGAAAGTTCACCTAAGCTAAAAATACCAGTCGGCACATTTATGTTGCCATCAATAAGAGCACAGGGGGACTGGTGATCTAAGTCACCAACTGTGGCCATCTGGCTTGGTTTTCCAACACTCTCACAGTGGACTCTTGTCTTCTTGAAGGAGAGAATTTGATCAAGATACATACACAGTTTAAACAAAAGTTTACTTAGCAAAGCAAGGCAAGCACCCCGAAGCGAGGCTGAAGTGGGCTAAGGAAAGCATTTACTTGAGGCTGTCTTACAGTTTCAGAGGTTTAGTCCATGGTTATCACGGCGGGAGAGCATGGTGGCACACAGACAGACATAGTGCTGGAGAAGTAATTGAGAGTTCTACATCTGGATCCACAGCGCATAAAGAGAGCCACTGGCTTGGCCTTTTGAAACCTCAATGCCCACACACAGTGCTGTGTGTCTCTAACAAGGATAAACCTCCTAATCCTTTCAAACAGTGCCACTCCCTAGGCATACAAATATATGAACCTATGGGGGCCATTCTTATTTAAACCACCACAGATCAGATCTCCCTTTCAGGGTATTTCTTCCCATGAGTCTCATAGAAGGGGGACAGGTGTCAAAATCACAATGCAAGTGATATTGTAGTGAGGACCCTACAGTGGTGCACATGTGTGGGTCAATGACCTGAACCTTAGTTTCTGCCTAACTGCAGCTTCAAGGATAGTTTACCATAAAGGGGTATTCTGACCCTCAGTGTAGACAACTGCCTAAACCCAGCCACAGTCTTCCTCAGTTACTCCAAAGCTAACTCCTTTGCCTACTTGGTCCTAATACCAGGGCATTGGGGAGTTCACAAGAGACCCAGCAGGAACTGGGAGACTGCCTATGACCTAACTAAGGGGCCTCAGATTGTGACTTTCAATATATTCCATTACCCAAGCAAGTTACCAAAGGCCAGGCCCTACCCAAAGGTATGATTCTGCCTCTTGATGGAGGAACGGCCAGGCCAAATGGAAGAAAGGCATTTGGAGAGGACGGTAGCATGCAGCCAACTTTAGAAAGTGTTCTGTCATAGTCTGTAGACTATGGAAAGACGAGGGTTTGGGGATGTAGCTCAGCTGGAGAGTACTTGCCTAGTGTGCATGAAGCCCTAAGTTCGATCCCCACTACATTAACTAGACTTGGTAGTGGAAGCCTGTAACACCAGGCTGGAGTTTGCCTAATATGGGTAAAGTCCTGGCTTCAATTCTGAGGACTGCAGGAAGAAAGGAGGGAGGGGGAAGAGCGGGAGGAAGGGAGGAGGAAGAGCAGGAGGAAGGGAGGGGGAAGGGAGGGAGGAGAAAGGAATGAAGAAAGGAAGGAAAGAAGGTATAAGAAAAGCATGCTGGTTCTGAGCACAGAGTCTGTCTATATAGTGTGTGTCATTGGTGGCATATAAAGAACACGGTTAAATCTAACCCCTGAGGTGGTAAAGAGACTGATTCCTTACAACTCACTCCAGAACACACTCAATGTCTGTCACCTCACGATGGCCACATTAGAGTTCACAAGCTTATTCTACTGATGTCACTGCTGAATGCCCTCTGTTTACCCCCAATAAAATCAGCCAAAATTAAAGGTTTTATGATCCAAGGCCTGCATTGACAAGGTGAAAATCACTTTAGTTGAATATGTCTAAATTGGAACATGATTTCACGTGGTCAGAAGATCACGATTTTTCCAACCCCATGACTCCTCTGGTGACGTCATCAGTCAGTTCCTGTGCTTCTGTTTGTGAACACTTGCCCAGGCTCTGCCTAAGCAAGCAGTTCTCCACTCAAAGATGGCTCTCTATTCTTCCTCTCAAAGAACTGGCCACTTTGCTCTTTGGCCATCACTGGAATGACAACTATGACCACAGGCCCTTCTGATGACAATGACAGAAGCCAGTGACCATGAGGGGCTGTCACTTCCTTACTGTGAAACTAAATGAATAGTGTGGGAATAAAGCTCACTGATTTGGGTTCATCTTGCAGCCAACCAGCCTCAAGTCCATGACATACATGTGACTCACGGGACAATTTGAGCCACTCAGAACTCATGATTGCTACTGAGGTTGCAATCTCCACCTCCAGTAAAGTTTGAATTCTAGCTTTGGGACCTGCCATGTTTAGGTTCCAAATTATAGCCATGATGATGGATGGATGGATGGATGGATGGATGGATGGATGGATGGATTTGCAGATCTTAAGATGGAACCATGACCTTGTTTTTCTATACAAGTGTTCTGCAACTGAGTTGTATTTACAGTCTTAATTGTAATTCTTGATAAAAGGTCTTGCTACATAGTCCAGGCTAGCCTCAAGCCCCCAAGTAGCTACAGTTAAAGGTTTGTGCTACCAGGTACTCACAAGCTTTTTAAGGTGAACATTTTTCTCTCTTTACTCAGTTGTCTCCAATTCATTCTGTTGTGCCTTTGGTTTTGTTTTATGTCTGTTTGCTTTTTTTTTTCTGTGAAACTACTATCAGGCCAAGATCTAAGCCACAGGGTCAAGGGGTCACAAAGGTAGAGATTTGTGGTTCCTGCACTTGGTGGTTCCCAGCCAGCACCGAGCTCTGACAGGCGTTAGCGCTAATCTTAACTCAAGTTCGAGAGGCATGACCTCCACCAGGGAGACCTGTCAATAAGGAGGCAGGGTGGACGCCAGAGAGTGACCTTGAGCGGAACTGAGGGTGCTGACCCACCAAGGGAGTGCAAGAGGGCATCATGGGTTGAGTAGGCAGCTCTGAGGCTCAGCACATGCCCAGGGCTGGGCCAACACAAATACAGTACTATTAATCCACAAGCCTCCCTTTCTTATTCATTCCCAAGATCTCACATTAAAATTATAATTTTAAAAGTCCCATGGTCTTTACAAATTCAAACACAGTAAAATTCCTGTCTCTTTAAAATATCCAATCTCTTTTAAAAGTTCAACTCTTTCATCTGTAGGCTCCCTTAAATATCAAAATTAAATTAAATGTCTTCTTTAAGAGAGAAGAACCAGGACACAATCACAATTTGAACCAAGCAAAACCCAACTCCAACAGTGTAAATAACTCAATGTCCAGTTATCTGGGATTCACCCACTATTTCTGGACTCCGGCAAAGGGCTTGGGTCGCTTCTCCAGCTCTGCCCTCTGCAGCACAGTTTGTCTTCTGGGCTCCAGCTGGCCCGACTCTACTACTGCTACTGTTCTTGATTGTCTTCCCATGGTACTGGCATCTTCAAAATGCTGGGCTCCCTAACTACAACTGGGCTGCACTTAACCAATAGCCTCTCATGGGCTATCTTTACAGTGCCTAGCCTCAGCTTCTCTGCATGACCCCTTCAGTCCTGGGTCTTCAGCTGCCACTGAGGCTGCACCGTCACCAGTGGCCTCTCACAGAGCCAAGTCCCAGCTGCTCTCCATGACCCCTTTATGCTTTCAAAACCAGTACCACCTAGGGGACGCTTACACATGACCAAGTCCAGCCGCCAACACGAGGTATAACCATAGCCACCTCAGTGATGCTGGTCTCTTCTTCATCACTGCTAATTTCTTAGCTCCAGCTAGCCAGCATCAGTTGTCTCGGTAATGTAAAGGTTTCACGTTTGTGTTTCTGGGATCTTATTAATCACAGCTGATTCTTGCTAACCAGAACCACAAAAGCTTAATTCAAAATAACAAATGACCCCGATAGAGTCTTTAAACCCCCTCTGAAACGTCACAAGCCAGGCCTCCATCTTCTGCATTGCTCTCAACATTCTTACCTTCCAAGCTCCCACAGAACATCCCGAAAGTTCTTAACACTCAACAGCTCTTCAGTCCAAAATTCCAAATCCTTCCAGTCCTCCCCTAAACATGATTGGGTCTGTCATAGCAATATCCCCACTATGCTGGTACCAATGTCAGTCTTAGGGTTTCTAGGCTGTGACTAAACACCATGACCAATTTCAAGCTGAGGAGGAAAGAGTTTGTCTGACTTACACTTCTAGATCATAGATCATTGGAGGAAGTCAGAACAGAAACTCAAGCAGAGCAGGAACCTGGAGGCAGGAGGTGCTGCAGAGGCCTTGGAGGGGAGCTTGCTTCCCCTGGCTTGCTCAGTCTGCTTTCTTACAGCTGGAGTACATGGAGGCCTTTCCTCGACTGAGGCCCCTTCCTCTCTAATGACTCTAGCTTGTGTCAAGTTGACACACAAAACCAACAGAATAGCTAGATGCTCAGCAGGCAAAGTGGCCTGCTGTATAAGTATGAGGACTCGAATTCAGGTCCCCAGAACTCATACAAATGCCGGGTGGACCTGGGGGCCTACCTGTAATCCCAATGGGAGGCAGAGATGAGGGGTTCCTAATGCAAGCTGGCTAGCTAGACAAGTCAAAGACCCGGCCTCCATATCTAAGGTAGAGAGTGATGGAGAAAGACTCTGATGTCAATCTCTGGTGTACACGCATACATGCACTCACACATGTTGAACACACACATATGATTCCATACCCCACATAGAAAAAATACAAAAGAGGAGGAAGGAAAGAAGGAATAAAGAAGGAAAGACGTTGATGTCCAGGCCATACCCCCTAAAGTGTCTGGGTATGGATAGGACCCAAGCATTAAAAAATGTTTAAACCTCCCACCAAAAGATTCTGACACGCAGCTGGGTCTCTGAGTTGCTGACTTAACCCAGTCAGGTTTGCTGCCCCATGGTCTCCCCTCCTCCCTACCCCTCTGCCTACCATACAGCAGGATTGGGACTCCAAGAGGGCTGTGCACTTTTTAAAAGCAACGGATCCAGAGCTGGGGAAATGACTCAGTTGGTAAAGTGTTTGCAACCCGAGCATGAGGACTTCCGCTGAGCTCGTCAGCACCCACAGCACTGGCTGCACACACCTGTAGTCCCAGTGTTTGGGAAACAGAGACAGGTGGATTCTAGAAGCTACTGTGTTCAACAAAAGACCCTGTCTCAAAAAGATATGATAGGGAATGACAGAGATATCCAGTGTCAACCTTTAGTTTCTACACGCAAATGTCCACACACAAGCACTGGACATGCACACACATACATGTGAATATCCAAGACCCAGCTGACCAACTGGTGCAAGAGCATTGTGATGCAGACCTTGAGCTGCTGGGGTGCCCACAGTTGCAGCTTCCACGGCTGCCCCCTAGAGGACATCAGGCTGCCCTGTTTCCATATCCCTCTTCTGACCAATCCCCTGCATCTGGTTCCAGTTCAGAGGCTTTCCAGAAGGGTGGAAGGAAAGGGGCCAAGAAGGTGATGATTGTCATCACAGATGGGGAATCCCATGACAGCCCAGACCTGGAGAAGGTGATCCGGCAGAGCGAGAAGGATAATGTGACCAGATATGCAGTGGCCGTAAGTTCTACCCCAAGGAGGGGGCGGGGAGCAGTTGGTTACTCTCAGAGGCTCTGCCCTCAAACCCTCAGGGATTCCCAGGAGCTGCCTCCCTAGCAAAGGCACAACAAGCTGTATCCTCCTCTGAAGAACAAGTGGAGTGTGCGAGAGGCCCTGGGTTCCATTCCCAGCAATGTTTAAAACCAGATGTGGTGCACACCTGCAATCCCAGCACTAGAGAAGCAAGGCAGGAAGAGCAGAAATTCAAGGTCACCCTTGGCTGTAGGACAAGTTTTCATCCAGTCTGCTGGGACTACTTTTATTTCTAAGTTGACTCTTAACATTGCATGTGTGTACGCAGACATGTGTAGGTTTCCACAGACGTGTATGGGATTCCATTTTTCTCCTTTTTACAGGGAGTCTAAAGAAAAAAAAAAGGACCCCCAGTCCTCCCAGATTCCAGAACCCCAGCTAATCTCAAGGGTCTTAGCTGGTACCCCCAAAGAGTACCTGTTTTCAAATGCCAGTGGTACCTTGAGAAAGGCTCAAGCTATAGCCCGCCTCCAGGTCCTTGGGGTCTGGGGTTGTGGGTGTGTGGAGAAGTCAGTACTATGTCCTGGTTTGTCGTCCCTGCCCCTATTCCCTGGCAGGTCTTGGGCTACTACAACCGCAGGGGGATCAATCCAGAAACTTTTCTAAACGAAATCAAATACATCGCGAGCGACCCTGATGACAAGCACTTCTTCAACGTCACAGATGAGGCGGCCCTGAAGGACATTGTCGATGCCCTCGGGGACAGGATCTTCAGCTTGGAAGGTGACCGACTCATGGTCTTACACCTCTGCCCAAGGACTATAATACCCCAAAACAGGGTGATGATGAGGCAGCACAGGCCTCACCTCAGGACCCGCTCAGAAAAGAGCCCCAGTTCCCATGATGCCCCAGGACACAGGACCCTGGACTAACCAGTGATGCACAGAGCTAACATCTTCTCGCTGTTGTTTTAGGCACCAACAAGAATGAAACCTCTTTTGGACTGGAGATGTCACAGACTGGCTTTTCCTCGCATGTGGTAGAGGTACAGGACCCTCCTCCTCCCTCTCTCCTTACTCATCCAGGTCTGTCTGCTGCCCCACCTTTTATGGCTCTCCCGTGTTTTTTCAGTGTCTCTGCCTCCTAGAATTTTCTAAAGCCTGGAATGGGGAAGTTAAGGTCTTCAACTTATTTCTAGTGTCTTCTGCCTGCTTCAGAAGACAGCTCACTATACATGTTACACACACAGAGAGAGAGAGAGAGAGAGAGAGAGAGAGAGAGAGAGAGAGAGAGAGAGAGAGAGAGAGGCAAGAAGCAGAGTGGCTGTGTGGGGGTGGGTACCTCCCAGGGCCTAACGTCTCATTCAGTCCATAGAAACCCACGCAATCAGGTCAAATAACAAAACCAAACAGCAAGTACCTGATAGCATCAGAGTCTGAGGTGACCCGTGCCAGCTCGGCCAGGGCATGTACTCATGTCGGGAAGGTGTCTATAGCTCCCAGCTCCACCAGGAGGCTGCAAAACCCATCTCTGTTCAGACTCTGCATTGGACTGCAACAGCCCCAGGTGTGCCTTGCCCATGAAGGACAGGCTGCAGGTGTCACTAACAACACAACCAGGAGGCTGCAAAACCCATCTCTGTTCAGACTCTGCATTGGACTGCAACAGCCCCAGGTGTGCCTTGCCCATGAAGGACAGGCTGCAGGTGTCACTAACAACACACGGTGTCAGGGGCCATGTTCCCCTGAGGCTTAACCTAAGGGAGCCTGGGCCCTCACAGAGGAGCAAAGTCAGTGTTTTGGGAAACATTTTATAAACTGTCACGTCCTGGGGGCTCCATGTGGGAAGCATGTCAGCCCCGAGAGTATACCAGTACATGCTCCTCCTCCAGGTATGTGTGCTTCAGACAACAGGTGTCTTGGTTGTGCGCGTGTGTGTACTCTCCGTGTTCAGGAAAGGTCTGCAGGCCCACAATGATTACACATCCCTCCGTCGTCCCCACACATCCTCTGAACCCTTCTGGGATGTGGGCAGGGCAGGATTCCTGGTTCCCATCCTGCAGGTTAAGAACGGATTCATGAGGTCAGGCAAGCTGGGGCTAAAGTGACGTGAGCAAGGACTGCGTGAGCTCTTCCCTCTGCAGTCGGCAGCTGCTCCGAGAGGGGCTCCCAGGAGCTCTGAGTAAGAGATCCCAGACTGGAGAGAGCGGCTCATGCATGCCAAGCGGCAGGCAGATGTTTGGATATGCGGCCTGTGCACAGATTTTTGCCAGGCTCCATCTGTAGAGTATCAAGTCCACTGAGGTGGATACAGCAAGATACGAGCATAGATTTCCCACCATCCCAGCAGCCCCTGGCCAGGTGCACAGCCCTGTAAACTTTCCCCAGGGGTCCCTGCACCTCATTTCATGCTCAAAAGAGCCCTGTGAGGTCTGCAAGTGGGGACAGTCATCCTGATTTAGGTGGCTGGGCCCACTGGTCTTCTAAGTGCTTCTTATGGCTGGGATTCAGGAGGAGCAGAGGTGGAGCTGGGCCACCAGGAGACAGGAGCTTACATTTACATGAGGTCAGGCAGCCAATCCCCGCTCAGTACTATCAATACTGTCCCTCTGGGGACAGGGCAAGAATGAGGATCTGATTTTAAATACCCAGCATGGCTGCCTATACCCATAATTCCAGCATTGGAAGAGAGAGATGGGTAGACCATAAGAGCTCACTGGCCAGCGTTCCTAGCCACCTGATAGGCTTCCAGTTCAGTGAGAGACCGCTGTCTCAAGGCAGAAATGTCAGCAGTGACAGAGGAAGACATCTGATATTCCGCTCTGGCCTCCAAAGGCACAGGCATGGGCATGGGCATGCCCTCCTGCATACGCACACGCATGCACCCGCCACACAGAAAGGGCAATGGGGAGGGAGGGAGGGCGAACACAGCAAGAAAATACAACTTCATGAAGAGCAGGGAGCATTGATTAAGATGCAACTGAAGTACCAAAAGGAATCAGCAGTGAGCCTTGCCACCCAACATCAGCTCACAAACTGCCAAAACAGCATGGAGAGCAGGAGGCGGAGAGCGGGGAGCCGTAGCTGCCTCCCAGGAAACCAAGTCTAGAGCTCCAAGGCCTAGGAGGAAATTATAAACAGTTGACGCCCACTTGTGGGAGGCCCCAGAGAACTCCTCCATGGGAGGAAGAACACTCTGCTACCACCCTGAACTGAGATGGCCAAGGATATGGCCAGGTGTCATGGCGGGGGGGGGGGGGGGGGGGGGGGCAACACATGACTGTCCCTGCAGTGAAGGCCACCCAGGTAGCTATACCCTGGGGCTGTGTCATGGAAGCTCAGTGGCCCCATAAATCTAGGGTGGCCTGAAGGCCATAAGTCAGGGAATCCAGACAGGCCCATGAGGAAACACTGGATGCCAGATGCCAGTCTTTCCCAGATGATTCACGCCATTTCCCAGCTGGGCCACACGCCTGGCGTCCCCCACCAAAGTTCTGGCCTTTTTCCCAGGATGTTCTAGATTTTTTTTCCCCCAGATTTCGGATGTCTGGGGCCCTCAGCTGGGAAGACTGTGACTTGGGAGATTTGTTTTGATGGCCTTCATGAACACACTTCCTACTACGCCTGTCCCCAACAAATCCATTTTGGGGACCCAAGGTCTATCTGTGGCCAAGATACAATGGCATAGGTGAAATGAGAACTCGCCTTGCCCCTCGCTCCTGAGGTCCAGGGCAGTTCTCAAACCCTACACAGGGAGGATGGAAAAGGCCCTCCCAGCAGGGCCAGGCACCTGGGTGGAGCAGGCCTTTCTCAGCACACCAGAGGTCCCCGCTGTCAGCAAGGCCACAACACCTCTTCAAAACCCTCTCCAGACATCAAGAAGTCTAGCATGCAGTCACAAACTTGGACTCAGCAAACAGACATGAAGAAAGGGTGGCCCACCTTCTGGAAGGGCTCAGGTAGAAAACCGGAAGCAGGAGCCATGTGGGGCTTGGGAAAACCAGTGGGGGCTTTTCTTGCTGCCCCATCTACCCTCTGGCCAAAGACCCAGCCCCGCCCAGACTTGCTGTGTGATTTTGGGAACGCTTCTGCCTCTCTTCGAACCCCAAGTGCAGATAAGGAGTCTGCCCCCTCCCAGGGCCCCTGTGGGCTCCCACGGGAGAGGATTGGATGAGAAAGTGCCCCACCAAGAAGGAGCATACTCCAAAATCGAGGAATGTTGGCAGTGACCATGGACAACAGGAATTTGGGTTCCGGACCTCAGTCTTGGCCCAGCCCACTGTCAGTGCTTCCCAGCTGAGTGGAGCAGGGAGCTAATTAGAACATTGGACTTTGAACATGACAGAGCACCAGGCACTCCCCAAGACAGCTTATTTATAGTTGCAAAAACATTCCACAGGGGAAGTTCTCCCTCCAGAGAACTGGCCTTTTCAACTCTTGGATAAGATCAACTTGCCTCTTTAAAATGGCAGGAGATCTTTGAACCCAGCCAGAACCAGCCAGCTGGGCTCATGGAGGGCTGGAGCATGGGGTTATGGGGAGGGGAGGGACTTACCTGCCGAAACTGTAAAAGGCCAAAGCTGCTGCTGGCACAGTGCTTGGCTAGCACAGGACAGACCCTGTGTTCTATCTTAGCACACACGCGTGCGTGCACACATACACACACACACACACACACACACACACAATGAGTAAGGATCTCATAAAGCCTAGTCTAGCCTCAAAGTCACTATGTAGCCAAGGATAACTTTGATTTTGATCCCTCTACTTCCACCACCCCAGTGCTGGGATTATAGGCATACACCCATCATGCCCAGTTTATATGGTGTGGAGAATGGAACCCATGGCTTTTCCTGTGCCTGGCAACCACTCTACCACTGAGCCACATCCCAGGTACATTGAAGCCAGGAAGAACCTCAGGTTTCTATGTTTTTTTTCTTTGTTTATTTTGAGGAGGAGTCCACCACTAGCCTGAAGCTCACCAAATAGGCTGGGTTGGCTGGTCAGCAAGTGGGGCCACATGCATGTCCAGCACTGAGTCTATGGCACATGCCACCATGCTCAGCTGCTTTTCCCATGAGTCCTAAGGACTGAACGCAGGTCACTGTACTTGCAAAGCAATCACTTCACTGACTGAGACATCTTCCCAGCCCCTATTTGCAAAAGAAAATTAAAGCCCAAAGCTAAGATACAGGGTAACCGCCCCTCCCCTGAATCTGGGGGGTGGGGCTACTAGTCTCACCTCCTCCTTCCTGCACTGCGGTCCAGGTACCATTCCTCCTCCTTCAGGGCTTGCTGTTTGCCTTCCTATGCCCAGTCATGTGGTTTGTTCACTCTAGGGGTGGGGAGGGTCCAGGGACCCAGTTCTCAGGAAATGACACCTCCTGCCTTCATACCCAGGCACGGTGGCATGCACTTGTTCTGCAGTAGTGGGCAGGGCAAGGGACACCCTCCAAGTCAGTGAAGAAACGAGCTCCATGGCCCTGCCTTGTCTGCCCAACCTGTCTCATCCACTCTGCTTCCGCTCTACAATTCGCAGTTCCTAGAAAGCAAAGCTGCCTTCTCCCTGACTGGGGCCTTTGCTCAGTCGCTCCCAAGGCAGGCTTGAAGGGGCTTGAAGGGGTGTTGGGCTGGGTAGGTAACAAGGAAGCTGAGTGGTTTTAAAAGTCCAAGGAAATGTGGAAGGCTTGTCCTGGGTTCAGAGTGTATTTCTAGAATGTCCCTTTATCTGTTTTTAAAGTCGCACCCTTGAGATCAGCTTGACCCATTTGGTGCTAAGGATGAGACAGGGCACCATTGGTCTCTGAGGCTTGATTATAAGTGAAGAGCCCCAGTTGGAAGCTGAGTTTCTAAGTCACCATCCCGGCAAAGGTACCCCCCCCCCAGACGACTATGGTGCATTAGAGTTGGCAAGGACCTGGGTGCTTTCAGCAAGAGGTCCCTAGAAACCGGGTCTGATGCCACATTCTCCCCTGGTGCCAGGACGGGATCCTGCTGGGAGCCGTGGGAGCCTACGACTGGAACGGGGCAGTGCTGAAGGAGACAAGTGCGGGCAAGGTGATTCCCTACCGGGAGTCCTACCGTAAGGAGTTCCCGGAGGAGCTGAAGAACCATGCCGCATACCTAGGTGAGGCCCTAGGAGGGTGGCTGGTGACAGAGGGTAAGGAGGGCCCCAGATTGAGAGGCCCATCTGTACCTGTTGGCAATTCTAGCTACAAGGCTGGTTTCTCCCTAGCTACATCCCACACCCCATGCCAGCGTCTGACCGTATAGAATAAATGACAGCAAGTTCCCCACAGTATACGTAAGCTTCCATGGAAGCTTCTAAACTTTCGGTCAGTTGCCAGGGTCCTTAAAGCTTTAGGTCTGGACTGGAGCTACGTCACCCTGGGCCTGCCTCCCCTAGAACAAAGCGCAAGTCTTGTCAACAGCCGTTCTCCCTTTTATTAAATAATTCTGTTTGGTTTGGGGGCTGGGGATCAAGCGCTACGTCTCCAGGGTCTTTCCGTTAATCCTCGCACTCAAGGGAAACAGGGCTCACTCTTCCTCCTCAGGCCTGGTTGCTCCCCATACCAAAACCCGGCAAGCTGTACTGAGCACACAGCATCAGAGACCAGTCTTGTTTCTTCCTCTGGCAGGCTACACAGTGACATCGGTCGTGTCCTCCAAGCAGGGGCGGGTGTATGTGGCCGGAGCCCCCAGGTTCAACCACACGGGCAAGGTCATTCTGTTCACCATGCACAACAACCGCAGCCTCACCATCCACCAGGCTCTTCGGGGCGAGCAGGTAACGGAGAACAGGGGGCAGGCTCTGGGCAAGGGTGAGGGTCTGACCTAGGCAGAGTGAGCCAAAGGGCTCCTCCCTCTCAACAAGAAGGTCCCACACCCACAAGTATCCCCCTGTGCTGGGGGCACAGGTCCAGTTCTCTCTGACTGAAGGTGCCTGCAAAAACAGTTTCCCACTAAACAGCCACAGAACCTGCACTGTCCCCTCCCCTCAAAGTCCAGTTGGCTCCTAATGAGAGCCTGGGGCAGCTTCTTCCCTCCGTCTTATGGGCCTCTTGCCTCTAGAGTGCAGGGTGACCTCTGCTGCTACCCTGCCTGGTGTGCTCAGGAGTAGCCGCTCCAGGCAGCATCAGTGTCTAGCTACCTGGCCTGGGCGTCTCCTAGCCCTGGGGTATTCTGAAAGGACAGCCACACTCCTTGAGCTGTCTTGTTATTTTTAAGTATTTTCCGACCCACAAACCTCTCCGCCGACACAATAATCCCAATCAGACCAAATCAGTCCGAATTAGAAGATGACCAGGTTTAATGGCTGCCAGTGCTCCTGGGTGGCCCCCCGGGAAAACATGGAGGGGGAGAAGGAGAACCTGAATAACCTCCGGAGAGGGAAAAGGGGAGACCATGTGTTCATTCTCGGAGGTGGGGGGCAGTTTAAATAGCCTGTGGGAGTGATCTTGACCCTTCCTGGGGAGGAGGTCACTGGTGGGCTTTCTCAGAGGTCGAGTTTGGACTGAGGCAACTCCCAAGGGATGGAGCAGAAATGAAAATTTTTGCCCAACATTCTAAAAATGGATGCCAGGGGGCTGGGGTGAAGCCCCCAACTAAACAATCCAGACTCTTTGTTTAAAGGGGTGCAGGGAGCTGAGGTGACGCTTCCGACCAGTTATATCATTCCCTGCCCCCCCCCACACACACACAACAAGACCCACAAGGACAGCAGCTTCTTCCTTTTTCCTGGCAGTAAAGCTCACTGCTAATGCCACTGTCCCTCTTGGGATGTGCTGACAATCAGACTGTGTGACAGGCTGTGTCAGGCGGTTAGGACACCGATTAGAAAGCTCTGGTGAGCAAGCACTGGTGGCAGGAACAAAATGCATCACAGCAGCAGCCCAGGAAGCAACACAGCTTCTCCAGGATTGTACACTAGGTTCCTGACCAGGTCATGCTAAGAACTCAGGCTCTTCCGTGACGTCACCTCTTGACTCCCAACAGCCCCTACCTAGACCAGGCCTTGACATCTCCTGACTGACAGCATCCTCTGGTACCCTGGACCCCAGCTAAGCCCCACCCAGGCCCCCGACCTGCCTTCTCTCATTACTTGGAGCCTGAGAAGAGCCCCATTCTATAGCTTCTCCTGCCCTGTGTTACCAGGACACACGCCTCTCCTATCAACCTGAGCACAGGCTACAGAGGGTCACAATTCTCTGACTCCTCTTCTAGGCCAATGGCGCACTGGTATGCACCTCATGTTCAGACTGGCAAACTCTGCCCCATCCCACTCCACCCCACACCAGCCCTCTCTCCACCCCGCCCCACCATGGTCCATCCCACTCCACCAGCTCCACCATGATCCAGCCCGCACCAGCCCACTCCACCCGCCCCACCACCACCATGGTCCAGCCCACTCCACCGGCTCCACCCTGCTTCATCCAGCTCCACCTGCTCCAGCCCGTACCAGCCCACTCCACCTGCCCCCTATCCCCACGATTCAGCCCACTCAAGGCTAGCACCTTCAGGAAGGGAAAGGCTAGACCTGGGAACTACAGGTAATATGCTGATAACTCAAGACTCTTTCCTGATCAGCTCCACCTCCAGCATCAAAATAAGAAACTGTAAAGCTGAAGACAGATCACTGTGACCCACAGAGCTGAAACCATAGATTTAGTTGACTTTTCCTGTCTGCTTTATATATAATTGCTTTATGTTGACACCTCTCTTCCTTCCCCACCTGGCTCAGGCTCTTGTCTTTTTCTTCTGTCTGTATATTTATCTTCCTTCTTAAAGGCTTTTTTGTTTTGTTTTGAGACAGGGTCTAATGTAGCCCAGGAAGACCTTAAACTCACTATACTGTGTAGGATTGCCTTGAATTCCCAATCCTCCTGCCTCCACCTCCCATGTTAGGATTATAGGCAAGCAGCACCACATCTGGTTTATGCGGTGCTGAGGCTCAACCCCAGGGCTGCAGCATCCTAGACAAGCACTCTGCCAACTGAGCCACATCCCTAGCCCGTGCAAAGTCTTTAGAACAGGCTACTGAGCCAAGCATGATGTGATGGTGCACTCCTTTAGTTCCAGCACTTGGGAGGCTGAGGCAGGCAGATCTCTGTGAGTTCAAGACCAGCCTGGTCTACATAGCAAGTTCCAGGACGGCCAAAGACATATGGTTTTATGCCTGGAGGTCATGGCAGAAGGAACATTAGGCTTCCTGTGTCAGAGTGGCTTAGCCCAGCAATCATCAGGCTTCTGACCTGGCCAGGCAACTGGACTCCTCTTGGTTTCAAGTAACCCATGCAAAATGGGAAGAAAAAAAAGGGGGGGCAGGCTGAGGTGTAAGCTCAGCGGCAGAGCTCTTGCCTGGCACGTACCAGGGCCTGGGTTTAACACTGCCTCCTAACAGCATGGTGCACCACAAGCTAACCCAAGGTTTTAGTGTCTCACATGGGGCCCCATCACAGGCAGGATCTGTTCCCTCTTCTAAGCATTTACTGAGCCCATCCTGTGTGCCAGGCATGACCCCCAAGCCTACAAGGGCCTACCCTCAAGAGGCTCCCAAAGAGAAAGCAGACCCTGGTGGGAGAAGGCACCCTTGTCACGAACAGTGGGGTTGAGAGGTCAGAGACACCTTCTCAAAGGAAGCGAAGCATCAGCTGAAGGCTGAGTTTCTGCAGGAGGCAGGGGAGCGGGGAGGCAATGTAAGGAAGAGGAAAGCTTGTGAGAGGGAAGCAGGTCTTAGAAAAGAGAAATCACTGATGTACGGCAGGAAGGGGCAGGTGGAGGAGGCTCAGTGTTGGGAGCCAGGGGCAGCAGAGCAGAGACTGGGAAGGGAGGCAGATCCTACAGGGTCATGCTAAAGAACGTAGGCTTTATCCCAAACACCAGGCTGTATATGGCTGGGGGTTAGAGGCCAGGTGGCCATCACAAGGACGAGGTGGGAGCCAAGCATAGAGGAGGAGCAGTCAGGCAACAACGAGATGCTGGCCAATACCAGGCTGCATGTGATAGAGATGGAAGTAGAGACAGGGGTTCCTCAGTCTCTAATGGAAGGTGAACGGTGCCCCGGCTCACGTGGGGATCGCTACACTCAATGAAGGACAGAGATAAAGAGAGAGTGAGCCCTCGGACAGGCACGTGTCAGTCACCATCGACAGTGGGAATGCCAGTGTGCTCCATGACACTTGGAAATGAACTATTGTGGCTTGATTAAACCATTAGGGGACATAGCTCACTCTGAATCAGCAGCAATCAAGTCACAAAGAACCAACCCGTCACGGTTGGCTATTGCACTCATGAGTTCACAGCAGCTAAGGTTACCTGCACAAGCCTAGATGGGGAGGAGCTCATGAGGCCCCACCCCTAACTGATGACCTATTAGCAATTGATAGCTGCTGAACGAAGGAGAGTCCGTTTCCTTAGGGGTGTGGCCACTAGTACACACACGGGCAATGCTAAGTGGCTTTAGTCCGTTGTTTTTTAAAGGGAGAAGAAATAATGTTGAGAGAAGATGACTAAGGGGGACCTGGAGGAAGTTGGAGGGGCAAACTGGAGAGTGGGCAGGACTGGGCTTTATTATATACATGTCTGAAAATTCTCAAAGAATAAATGTTTTTAAATGGGGCCTTTATGAGAAAGAAAAAAATGTCCTGAAGAAAGGTTCTGGATACATTGTTATATCTAATAATCAGGAGAGATGAAGAGCAGTCTCGTTGTGATGAGAAAAGCTTCTTTATATATAAGAACTGGTAATGTAAAGACCATAGAACAGAGTGGGGGAAATACAGAACAACACTCACGCTGGCTGTGCCTCAGTGTTGAGACTATGGGTAACTCGTTTTTGTCTTCAAAAATTTTATGTAGTTTCTTTTTTTGCCATTATATTATTTTGATTTTTGTCATTATAATATATCACAGTCCCGAGGAATAAATAACCATAGTTAAAGTTAAGTAATGAAAATACAGGAGGGTGGGAAGGAGCTGCCAATTGAGATAGGGAAAGAAAGAAGGATACCCTGAAAGCAGGTAAGTCTGCCCAGGGGAGAGGAGGGGAAGGTAGGCATGAGAAGGGAGGGTCTGCCAGGACCCCAAACATTCCAGGTCAAAAGATGACCCAGGTTCTTGGCCAGGGCTGTCAGTGTGAGACCTGGGGACCCAGCTTGATCTTTCTCCCATCCATGTGCCGCAGATAGGCTCCTACTTTGGGAGTGAGATCACCTCAGTGGACATCAATGACGACAGAGTGACCGATGTCTTGCTGGTGGGCGCCCCCATGTACTTCAGCGAGGGCCGAGAGCGAGGCAAGGTGTATGTCTACAATCTGAGACAGGTACTGCGGTCAGGAGGGGCCGGGCAGCTCTGCAGGGCATCAGAGTCCTACACTGACTTGGTCAACCTTGAGGGAACCCAGGTTCCCAGGAGGCCCGGTACTGCCTGCAAGAGCCAGCTGGGAAGGACGGGAGCCTCTCTGCCCTGGGCTCCTGTCACTGGGAGGGGTCCTGGGAATGGAATGAAGAGAAGTCACTTGGCAAAAGGAGTCGAGATCCCAGAGCCTCTGCCCAGTTCCCTGAGCCTCTTCCCGGCCTTGGTTTTGCAGAACCGGTTTGTTTATAATGGCACTCTGAAGGATTCCCACAGCTACCAGAACGCCCGGTTTGGGTCCTGCATTGCTTCAGTTCAAGACCTCAACCAAGACTCCTACAATGATGTAGTGGTGGGGGCCCCTCTAGAGGACAGCCACAGAGGGGCCATCTACATCTTCCATGGCTTCCAAAGCAGCATCCTGAAGAAGCCCATACAGGTGGGGCTTGGGGAGACTAGGTAGAGCAGAGAGTGGGCAGTGTGGGCTGCACCCATGTATTCCTGCGGCTCAGTTTCCGTGCATGCCCTCTTGCAGGAAGGATCCTGTCTGTTCTAGCTGTGCCTACCTCTAGTGGAGGGATTGACATGGGCACAGTGATGTTCAGAATGTCCCCCATCTATCCCCATATACACCTTTATCCTCTCAACAACATCAGTCCAATGAAAATCTCAGGCACCAAATATCACTGCCCCAACAGGAACCCTGTGACTGGGACACTTCCGGCTGGGTTCCATTTTCACTACAAACAGACCAAACCCAGCTCAAATTTGACCTTCTTCAGCCTCAAAGCCATCAGAATTTTGCCCACTCTTTTTTTCTCTTTTTTAAAATAATTCTTTTTTATTTCATGTGCATGGATGTTTTGCCTGCATGTATGTGTTTACAGTGCCCAAGGAGGCCAGAAGAAGGCATTGGATCCCCTGGAACTAGAGTTACAGACCATCATGAGCTGGCATTTGGGTGCTAGGAACAAAATCCAGGTCCTCTGCAAGGGTAGCCAGGGTTGGTTTTTTAATATTAATTTATTTTGTGTATGAGTGGTACCTGCAGATATGTATGTATACCACATGCATGCCTGGTACCCATGGAGGTCAGAAGAATATGTTTGATTCCCTGGAACTGGAGTTAGAGATAGCAGTGAACCAACACGTGGGTGCTGGCAATCAACCTAGGTCCTTTGTAAGAGCAACAAGTACTCTTAACCACTAGGTCATCTCTCCAAACCCCATTTTTACTTTTCTTTCTCTCTTTTTCTTTTTCCTTTTTTCTTTTTTTTTTTTTAAGGGTTGACCTATGTGGCCCTGGCTGACCTCAAACTCACAGAGATTCACCTACCTCTGCCTCTCAGGCTGGTGTTGAAGGCGTGTGCTACTACTCTGGCCCACCCATTCTATTCATAATTTCACATATGTGTACCATGTATACTGACCGTTCTCACCTCCCTATAACCTCTATCCATCTCCCCCCGACACACACACACACATACACACACACTTATCTCACTTATACGTATCTATTCATTTTGTTTTGGGAACCTCAGTGAAGACTTACCAGCACCATCTGTGTGACCATGAGAGCTATATGCTGGAGCCTGGTGGTTCAATAGCAGGAACACAACAACAACAACAAAAATAATGAGTCCTTCTTTCCCAGAATCTATCAATAAATAATGGATCAGGGGTAAAGGGTAGGGTCCCCCGTGAGCCCCTCCCCTTTCCCTGACTGACTGTTGATTGAGCCCAGCGCACATAACTACAGCTGTGGGTTAATGATCTAAACAGTTGTATTGAGTGTAGAGAATCTGCCTAAATAATTTATTAGTAAGACAGTCAAATAAATACGGCAAAGTAGAAATGCCAGTGGATTTGTTATCTTCCAGGTAATTACACTGACATTCACCAAGTACTTTATATTTTGTGGTGCTCAGGATCAAACTTAGGGCCTTGTACCTTCCAGGTGAGCACTCTACCACTGAATTACACCTTCAGTCCTTGAGTTTTTGAGGCAAGGTCTTGATATATATATATATATAGAGAGAGAGAGAGAGCCCATGCTGGTCTTGAATTTCTAAGCCTATTTCCACCTCTCAAGTGCTGAGATTGTAAGTGTGAGCCACCAAACTTGTTAGGGAATATTTTGAGACGTAAACAGTGACTTTAAAGGCGGGGGTTTCTCTGGTAAGGCAGCTGCCAGGTCTCAGAGCTCAGAATTGTCCGTCACCCTAGAGCTAACTGGGACTCACGGTACACACACCCTTTCTCTCTTCTCCCTGCAGAGAATCGCAGCCTCAGAGCTGGCTCCTGGCCTACAGCATTTCGGCTGCAGCATCCACGGACAACTGGACCTCAATGAGGATGGGCTTGTGGACCTAGCAGTGGGCGCCCTGGGCAACGCTGTGATTTTGTGGTCTGTTCCTGTTTCCCCCAACTACAGGACTTCCCTGAGGGTTACCAGACTAGAGTGCTTCAAAAACCTGCTTCTGGGTCCTCGCCTCTTGGTTTTAGCTACTGTCATCCAAATGAATCCTGAACCTCTCCCATCTCATGTGATCTTGGAGTCCTGATATGTATTCCCAACAGAATTCTAGAACCTTTGGCCACTATCAGGTCCAAAATCTGTCCCTCACCCCCAAAACTTTCCCCACACTCTGGCCCCTGCAGCATCTCTTCCTCTGCTGCTCCCCCAGGTTACACAGAGGGAGCACTGAGCCTCCTCTAGAAGGCATTTTCCTCCCCTCCAGCACAGAGTGGATGTGAAATATAGGGGTTTCTTTCTTCCAACCCCCCTGACTTTATTTCCTGTGTGTGTGTGTGTGTGTGTGTGTGTGTGTGTTTCCACATCAATGTTTTAGAAAAGCCCATGCATTGTCTTGTGTACTGATACTTTTAAAATGTATCCATGGTTAGCCTGGAATTTTCTATGTAGACCAGGCTGGTCTCAAGCTCACAGAGATCCACCTGTCTCTGCTAAGGTTAAAGGTATTATATCATCATGCCTGGCTGATTGGAGCTTTTTACATATACATGGATGAGATAAATTTCATCATTTAGGATTTTCTGCACTAACTTAAAATTTGAAGAAAAAAAAAGTCAGCCAACTTTCCATCATCTTGACACTGACATCTGCAGCATCTGACTGTACTTCCAGTCTTTTCCCTCACTTGTGCTCCAAACACCAGCCACTCGGCCTCACTCCTGAGCCTATTAGACGTGCAGAGTCTGTGCCAATGGACAGCAGCTGATCTGGGCTGCAAGAAGTCTGCAGGAGGCAGTGGTGCATGCAGATTAGAACTTGAGAGACAGTCTTAAGACAAGCTCATGTCTCCAGTTAGTGTGACCCGGGGTGCAGCCTTGGCGTGGGATTTCTTGTTGGTTGGTTGGGTTGTAGACTCACTGGGAAGTCGGGGATGACTTTGGATTTCTGAGCTTTCTGACTCTGTCTCACCACACCTTGTTTATGATGCTGGGAATCAAACCCAGAGCTTCATGCATGCTGGGCCAGAGCACTGCCAACTGAGCCACATCCTCTGTTCCTGACATGGGTTTTCTTTTCCTCCTCCCCCCACCCTTTCTTTTTTCTTTGCTTTGCTCCACTGTTCCTTCCTGAGCTGAGCCAACAGGTTGTTCTTCAGTGACAGGTCCTGAGAGAGAGGACCAGGGAATCAGAAGGTGAGGGGACAGATAAGTCTGGGATGAGGAGGTCTTACACAGGCTTATGTCTTATGCCAAGCAAGCTTATTTAGAAGCATGGTATTTTATATACTATTTCCAGGGGAGAAATGGGGCGTTGTCAGCGGAAACTACTATACAATGGGATGCAGTCAGCAGGAATCTAATCAAGCAGTGTGGCCCCAAGGGAGCACAGGGTACCTCAAGAGTGGAACTGATAGCTCCAGTCTCTTAGGGGAAAAGCCAAGTTCCTAGTAACAGCAAATCTCCAGCCTCAGCCACAGACTGTCCTTGCCAAGCCTGCTCCTGAGCCAGTACATGGAGCTAGATTCCTTTTGTCATTTCGTAAGGGCCTTTGAGACAGCCTTGGATCGGTTCAGCTCACAATCCTTTCTCCTTTTTCATTTATATCTGATAAATGTTTTGTCTCTATGTCTGTGCACCATGTGCACGCTGCTGCCCATACAGGCCAGAAGCAGGAGTCAGATTCCCCTGGGACTGTAGTTGCACGTGGTTGTGAGCTGCCACATGTGTTGGTGCTGGGAATCAAACATGTGTCCTCTGAAAGTGCAGCCAGTCCTCTTGAGCCCTGAGCCATCTCCCCAGGCCCTCTCTCCCCAGTTAATTCAAATGTGTGTCGGGCTGGATATGCCGGGTGGGGGGAAACCAGTAGTCCTTGACAAGAGCAACCGGAGGAAAAGGAGGATGGGCTGTCCCGGAGCCCTAAAGTCGCTGAGCCTCCCGCCCTCTCTCTTTGGCCAATCAATCCCATAGCCTCCTCAGGTCTCTCTGCCCCTTCCACCACACCACACCCTCTAGGGGGTTTTACAGACTCCACATCTGGGTCTGTACCTCTGCCCCTGGGTCCCAGCGAGGCAGAACTCCAGCCCCATCCTAGCTGACCTGTCTGTCTTCTCCAGGGCCCGCCCCGTGGTGCAGATCAACGCCAGTCTCCACTTTGAGCCACCCAAGATCAACATTTTCCACAAGGACTGCAAGCGCAACGGCAGGGATGCCACCTGTCTGGCTGCCTTCCTCTGCTTCGTGCCTGTCTTCCTGGCACCCCACTTCCAAACAGCAACCGTCGGTAAACCAGCCTCCTTGGGCCACCAGCCAAGCTCTGGTTTCTCTGTGGGCTTTGTGATTGTTCTGGTTCCCAGCCTGGGCCTTTCCCGAAATGGGTTCTAGGTACCAGGCCACACCCTGAGCACCTTCAATGCCTGCTAGATTCTCCTCTAAGGCTCTCCTTTCAAGGGACCCCTGGAAGGGCAAGAGTGGTATGGGCAGAACTGATGGGACAGACCAGGGACAGAAGAATGTCCCTTGGTTGTATTTTGAACCAGATGTAAAAGGCAGGCAGTATACTATAGAGAGGAGGCCAGGAGTCAGGCAGACTCAGGAAGCCAACCTGAAGCCATCCTTGGGGAGCTAGGGACCAGGGGCTGGGCATGTGAGCCACAACTGCCATCCAGCAGGGCCATGGGCCTGGGAAGGGTCCTCTCCTTTTACCTCAGATTAGATTCAGGTACCTGCTTCCTGGACCCTGCAGCCCTGGAAGTGACAGATACAATGGAGACCACAGGTAGTGTCCCTTCCAGTGATGAGGACAAAACCAGACAAAGAAGAAAGGGGGAGATGAGGACACATCCAGGCCTGGTGGCTGGGCACTTTTCTTGCAAGTTCCATCTATGATAAGACAAAGGATACAGCCACTATAGAACTGCCTAGGGGACAGAAGACACTGTGTCAGTCCTGGCTTTCAGATTTTTGTAGGCTAACAGGAGAAAGTCTATGGGCCTCAAGCCACAGAATACAGACATGGGTCCAAGGAGCCCCCCTAGCATGAGAAAGCCCTAGGAGGAGCTCCTAAAGGCACGGAGCCATGATGTGAGACAGGGTGTTAGAGGGAGGGGCTGAGGAGGTCATCGGTCAGCAGTGCTGAGCAACATTAGCCTGCCCGTCCCTCTCCTTTTTGCAAGACTCACTTCTCCCTCCCTCCCTCCCTCCCTCCCTCCCTCCCTTCCTCCCTCCCTCCTGCTGTTCTCTTGTTTTTTCCTCCTCCTCCTCTTCAGCTCCTTCCTCCTCACCATATTTGCTCCCAATATGGAAGCTTCCAGCTGCCCGTGAGGGATGAGCCAGAGGCTAAGCAGGTGAACAGTCTAGGATGGGGATGAAGCGCCAGCTTGGTCTTGATCTTCTCTCTTCCAGGCATCAGGTACAATGCCACCATGGACGAGAGGCGGTACATGCCACGGGCACATCTGGACGAGGGTGCAGACCAGTTCACCAACAGGGCTGTCGTACTCTCCTCAGGCCAGGAACACTGCCAAAAGATCAACTTCCATGTCCTGGTGAGCCCAGCAACCCACAAACAGGCCCTCAGCCCTACAAGAAGGGTCCAGAGTAGAGGAACTTCTATAGGAAGTCCCACGGTGCCAGGCCAGTTCCGAGCCCTCAGTGGGTAGCCAGAGAACAGTGTGGCCAACCCTGATTGATACCCTTCCTCGGGTCCCAGATAAGAGCCCTCATGGCTATACCACCCACCATACCCGCCTTCCCAGATGTTCACGCCTAGAAGGAATGAAATCGAGGCAGTGAGTTCATCTGAGAAGATGAGGGAACGAGTGGCCACCACCCGAGGCTAGAAAGTCAGAACAGCAGGGTGGGCTGGAGAGGAAGATCGGGTAAGGCAGGCAGAGGCATGGGCATGCTGACCAGTGGCATCCCAAGAAAGGCGGTGGCCCGGTGCTCATCACTGAGTGAGAAAGAGGTTTGCTTCCATACAGAAACACCAAGTGTGATGAGCACAGCTCTAGGGCATGGGCTTTCAGGGAGCTTGGAGTGCCCCGGTCATCTGTCACCCCTCTCAGGACAAACTGAACCTCCTTGTTCACATGTTCACCTGCGTCCCTTCCCTCACCCATTCAACATCACAAGGCCGTATCACACAGTGCTTGGGCCACACTCAGAGGTTTCTAGACTATTCCATGCCAGGGAAGAGAGCAGGCACACAGGTAGATCTTTTAGCTGAGCATAGTACAACATGCCTGTAATCCCAGTACTCAGGAGATGGGGCAGGAAGACTATCAGGGGCCAGCCTGGGCTAAATAGCAAAACAAAAAAAAAACGAGGAGGACAGAACAGTGAAGCAGCTTCGATGCTGTGGGAGAAGCTGATGAAACAAATCTGGAGTAGGAGGGAGGGGCCTGCCAGGCTTTCTGAAGGACCAAGGTATCTGAGCCATGAGAGCCGAGGCTTTGAAGGAAGAGCAGGAGTGTAGTAAAAACTTCGGGACACCAAACTGGCATCACTTTTCTACCTGGCACTCACTTCTCACCTGTAGACCTTGACAGAAACCATTGTCCACCTGGCGACTTCTCCTGAGGGCCAAAGGCCACTGTCCTCTTAGCCTAGAGGGGTGGGAGCTCTGTGTCTAGAGTTGTGGCCCAGGAAATGGTACCCTCTCCTCGCTGAACTCCGCCCTCCTCTCCCCACAGGACACTGCGGACTACGTGAAGCCAGTGACGTTCTCCGTGGAGTACTCCCTCGAGGACCCTGACTTTGGCCCCATGCTAGACAATGGCTGGCCCACTACACTCAGAGTGTCGGTGCGTCCTGCCCCTCTGCCACACACCCGCCCGTCCCTCACCCTCCAGCCTCCCGTCCTCAGAGACCCACAGCTAGCACCAGCAGGACAAGCCTCCTCTGTGTCCCATGTGCAGGGAACACTGAGTTGTCCCTTGGGAAGTGCAGAGGCCCAGAGGAGATCCATGACCTCTGGCTCTCACTCCTGCGTTTGCAGAAGAGGACTCTGTCACCCTGACTTTGCTCTTGTGTTTGTTGATTGACTAACGCAGTGATGGACTCTCCCTACCTGCTACTAAGGATCCCAAAGGAAAGCTTTCTCCTTGCCAGTGGCAGAGACCCTGCCTCTCAGCATTTTCTAGACTAAGGGCACCTGGATCCTCTGTTAATAGCTTAGGGTGCTTGCTCCCTGGAAAGTCCCTCTCAAGAAGTTCTCCCCAATTCTATGTGGGCTGGGAGAGCAGGCAGGATTTACAGAAGGCGATATTGGACTCTAAGCAATAGGCAAAGGCTTAATCACGTCACAACACTGAGAAACCTGGAGCTTCTGAGGTTCAGGCACTCAAGCAAAGTCTAGCCTGCAGCCCCAAAGTCACCCGAGTGCTTGCTCGGATTCCTCCAGCGCTGTGATGGGACTGTTGGGCCGGGATCACAGTGTCTCACTGTCCACACTCCCACAGCCTCCCCCTATCCTCTACAGTATCCCCTTCCAACCCTCCCCACAGCAGGCATCTTCCCTCAGCCCCTCCCAGACTCCCACCCAGCCCGTCTGCTCTCCCTTGTGAGTCACTGGACTGGCAGGGGAAGACAGCTAGCTGCTTCTAGCCACCGGCTTTCCTAACACCATCATTACAAAGCCAGTACGTACAGCGAGGGAATGGATGAGCGCACACTGCTCACTCATGAAGCCTGCGAGGAAGCAGATTCCCTCCTTCCCACGCAGTCACCCATGCCAGGACCCTGATGCCCCCAGGATCCTGATCCCAGGTAGAGATGCAGGACGTGAGCCACTCCAGATAGGGGACAGGGAACTTCCTGCAGGAGGCAGCTTGGGGCTTGGCTTTGAAGGAGTTTGGACTCGGAGCTCAGAGCAGGAGAGAACCTGCTTTCTAGCCAAGAAAGCCGGCTATGTCTCCCGAGTGAGTGAGTGGGAGAAGGTGGGGGGAAGATGAGAGACAGAGCCAGAGTCGCCTGTTGTGTCTGCACCACCTGAGCTCTGGGGTTACGTGTGTGCGCCACCAGTTTATGGGGCGCTGAGGGGCTGGGGATGTGGCTTAGCTGATAGAGGGCTTGGTTAGCATGCTCGGTAGGTACCCTGGCCTTCCTCTCCAGCATGGCATAAACCAGCTGTAGTAGCACATGCCTGCAATCCCAGCATTCAGGAGGTGAACGATCAGAGGAGTTCAAGGTCATTGTCAGCTATGCAGCAAACTCAATGCCAGCCTAGACTACAGGAGAGCCTGGGTTAAGCCAGTTTGTGACACTGAGTTCAGTAACCATCTCTCTCCATCACCTGGCTGGAACTTCTAAGGACTGGCTGTCTTCTGCGAGCTTCTTGAATGGCTGGCTGAAGACTTGAGCCACCAAGACCCTAGCCCAGGTTTAGTGAAGTGTGTACAGTATCTTTGTAGACTGGGTACCTCTAACAATGTGTCCAAACCGGGGGCCCAGTCTGTAGGCAGGCTTTTCTGTCCTGCCAGCCACTCCCCAAATAACCACACAGAGACTTAATACTAATTACAAATGCTCAGCCGAAAGCTCAGGCATGTCTGAGTCAGCTCTCACAACTTAAATTAGCTCACTCCTATTAATCTAGGTGCTGCCCCAAGGCTCGTTTACAACATCTATGAACTTCCCATGTTGTGTCTTCTGAGTCAGGCTCACGACTCAAAAGACTCCTCCTTCTTCCCAGCATTGTCTTAGTCTGGAACTTCGCCCTGTCTAGCTATAGGTCAGTCAACTTCTTTATTAAACCAATCACAGTAACATCCATTCACACAGCGTAAAGGAATAGTCCAGACCTTTTGAAAGGAGCTAATGAGACCAGGTCTCCTGTCCCCCACCTCTACCCCACCCCCAGTCAAGACTGCATCCATGGCCATGACTGTCACTGAGCCAGGCTTCAGCACCCAGCCTCTACTGAACTGTGCTGTGGATGAGCCACGGGGCACCCCCCAAGCCAATCTCCTGGATATATCTTAGGGTTCTGAAGAGTTGATGCTGTCTGGCGCGCAGAAGGTGAAAAAGAATAGGGTAACACTCTGGGCCCCTCCCTCAGCCCCAAGAGCTTCTAGGTCCTAGTGACCCCACCTCTGAGACCTTGGGCAAGCCTATGCTATCTCCATCCCTCCGGGGTGTTACAGCTACTTCCCCAGGCCTCTGGGCCTCTAGCCTGGCTCCTCCCAGCCCATCCTCCCACCTCCCTCAGCATGCTTGTCCAGCAGGGCCCTCCCACGCCAGAGTGCTTGCTGACTCTGTCATATAGAAGGGATGACCCAAGGCCTTATAGGAAGGCTATATTTATTTCTACGTTTATTTATGATGGCTGTTTGTTTCTTCCTCTCCTCTGCCTGGCCTTGCTCTACACAGCGCTGAACTATGGAGTCATTTCCTGCACTCACATCTCTGCAGGACGTCTAGCTTGTTCTCTGGCTTTCTGCTCCCCTGGTGCATCCAGCTCATGTGGCCGTGCTTCAGAGCTCTGACCCACTGTCCCCACCTTGGAAATGTCCCTGAACACCTACAGGCCCAAAAGCCAGTGCTCCCTCTGCCTCTTCTGGTCCTCGTGCTTCTGCTTTTCCACACATTTCACACTGAGCTGTTTGTTCACATGTCAGTCATCCCTGCCATCCCAGAGCAGATGCTGCGTCGTTCTCAGTCTCCATCTCCAGGATTAAGCATCTTATACACAACAGATGGGCAGTTCCTGTTGCCTGGAACTGTGCTGCTGGGTGAGGGAGCCTGTGCTGCCTGCCTGGCTAAGCGCTTTCTCTTAGCGCAGGGGTGGAGGAATAGGCAAGGGGATGTGTTGGGGGATTGTGAGGCAGGCAGAGCCCCATCTGGTGTGTAGAGACAAAGGCTGGGGGCTCTAGAATCCAGGGTTGGAGGCCATGGTCCCCTCTCCGGTCAGTCACACTGGTTCTCTCTACAGGTGCCCTTTTGGAATGGCTGTAATGAGGATGAACACTGTGTCCCTGACCTTGTCCTGGATGCTCGGAGTGATCTGCCCACTGCCACGTGAGTGGCTCCTTGCTTCTTTGACCCCTCTCTGATGGTGGCCTGGAGCTCCTCAGGGCTGGATTGTCCCCTGCAGCTGCTTTAACCTCTCCAGCTTCTTTGAGGATGGAATACCTCCATTTGTGCCCAAGCTGCTAAACAGATAGGACTGGAACCAGGGAGCTAGGGATGTAGCTCAGTGAATAGAGTGCTTGCCTAGCATGCACAAAGCCCTAGGTTCGAGCCCAAGCACAGCATAAAGTCCATGTGGTGGCCCATGCAAGGTGACAGCACTCAGGGAAGTGGTCAGAAATTCAAGGCGCTCTTGGCTACTTAGTGAGCTCAGGTCAGTCTGGGCTACAGGAGACCCCTCAAAGAGTGGGGAGGGGAGCTCAGGTGTGGTAGCACACACCTTAATTCCAGCACTTGAGAGGCAGAGACAGGCAGGTATCTGTGAGTTCCAAGCCAGCCAGAATGAGAAGAGACCTTGTCAAAAAAAAAAAAAAAAAAAAAAAAAAAAAGGGCTGAACAGATGGCTCAGTGGTTAAGAGAACTAACTGGCTGTTCTTTCAGAGGACTCAGTTCAAACATCTGTGACTCCAGTTCCAAGGGTTATGATGCCATCTTCTGGTATCTATGGGCATTAGGCATGCCTATGGAACACAGATAGATGTGCAGGAGAAATACACATGCACATGAAATAAGTAAATTTACAAACAAACAAGCAAAGAGCAACAACAAAAAGATAAAGAAGGTGATGACAGATGAACCAGAGTTCTGGGCCTTGACCTCTAAGCCCAGACCCTGGGTCATGCGTAGGGTCCTCTAGCTGACCACTAGGGCTTGTCAGTCTCTCTAAGAGTCTAAGGGGTACTGGTGAGGTAGCTCAGTGGGTAAATCTGCTTTTTCCAATAGCTTGAGTCTGATCCCTGGCCCTACATGGTAAAAGGAGAAACCCGGCGCTCACAAATTGTCCTTTGCCCTCCACATGACATGGCCAAACACAGTACCCACAATCCCCTGGAGGAAGCAGACTAGCGCACAAAGTAAACCAGGGTGCAATGCTCATGAATGCTTTTCTTTTTCTCTTTTTTTTTTTTTTTTTTTTTTTTGGTTTTTCGAGACAGGTTTCTCTGCGGCTTTGGAGCCTGTCCTGGAACTAGCTCTGTAGACCAGGCTGGTCTCGAACTCACAGAGATCCACCTGCCTCTCATGAATGCTTTTCAAAACAGAATTTTTCTGTGCAGCCAAGGCTGTCCTAAAACTTGCTCTGTAGACCAGGCTGGCCTTGAACTCACAGAGATCCACCTGTCTCTGCCTCCCAAGTGCTGGGATATGAGGTGTGGGCCACCACCATCCAGCCCATGAGATCATTTTTAACTGACAGAACAAACCTTAGGGTTTGGGTTTTTTTTTTTTTGTTGTTGTTGTTGTTGTTTTTTGAGACGGGGTTTCTCTGTGGCTTTGGGGCCTGTCCTGGAACTAGCTCTTGTAGACCAGGCTGGTCTCGAACTCACAGCGATCCGCCTGCCTCTGCCTCCCGAGTGCTGGGATTAAAGGTGTGCACCACCACCGCCCAGCAATAATTTTTGTTTAACTTTTATGCACTGAGATAAAATGTAAATGCCAGGATACAGACAGCCAGTAGAAATAGCACCTCCGGACAGGCTAAAAGGATAAAGGAATACTCTACCTGTCTAGGTAAAGTAATCAAGATTTAGTGCTGAGCTTCCTGGTAGCCAAAGCCAAAAGGGAAGCAGAAAGGTCATATGTGACTAGGAGGTCAAATGAGAGAGCTGAGTTCAGAGGCAGGTTCGGCCTGTGACTGGAAAAGAGGGGGCTTTGGGGCAGGTGGCCGGCTGGAAGCATGAGCTCTTGGTAGGCCCACCATCCACCTCCTCCTCTCAGCGCTGTTCCCACAGGCAGAGGCTGGCCAGGTGCCCCCATTCCTGAATCTCTGTCAGTCCTGAGACTCCGCTCCAGCCCTCATCCCCGAGCTCGCCTGCCTGATACACGCAGCCTCTTCCCACAGGGAGTACTGCCAACGGGTGCTGAGGAAGACTGCACAGGACTGCTCCACCTACACGCTGTCCTTCGACACCACTGTCTTCATCATAGAGAGCACGCGTCGCCGGGTGGCCGTGGAGGCCACGCTGGAGAACAGAGGAGAGAATGCCTACAGCACCGTCCTCAACATCTCCCAGTCAGAAAACCTGCAGTTTGCCAGCCTGATCCAGAAGGTAGGACCGCGCTGCTCGCCCAGCGGACCACGGCCAAGGGCACAGGAGTAACGGTGGTGGTGCTGACAGAGCTGTGTTCTGCCCTCCTCTGGGGGTCCTCAGTGGGGGGGGGGGTCTATATGCAGGTAGCTTTGAGAGCTCCCTCAGCAGCCAGAGCTGGGGACCATGGTTACCAGGGAGACTGCAGGATCTCAAATAACTTATTGTCACATTCAAGGCCCCACCTGATTTTTCTCTAACCCCGGTACCCTGATGTGCCCCCGCACCCATCACCACTGCCTCCCGGTATGCCCTGTTTGTTGACACCTGGGTCCTCTGCTTACTTTGTGGGCCTGCCTGGAATTACCTCTGCTTGTGTGCCTCTCTCACAATCCCCTGCTTCATGTTGACACTAAAGATGTGTTCTACACAGAATCATTGGGAGGAAGTATAGCATGGTCGGGGAGAATACAGTCCATCACGGCAGGAGGGCAGGGCAGCTCATCTTCTTGTGTGCACAAGGAAGCAGGGAAAATGAATGCTAGGCTTCAGCTTGCTTTCTCCATTTTTATCCAGTCCAGGACTCCAGATATGGAACAGTGCTGTCCACACAAAGTCACTGGAGACCAGGCAATATAACTGTGTGGCTCCAGGGTCTCTCTTCCATTAGGAAAGGAAGGAAGGGAGGGAGGGAGGAAGGGAGGGAGGGAGGGAGGGAGGGAGGGAGGGAGGGAGGGAGGAAGGAAGGAAGGAGGAAGGAAGGAAGGAGGAAGGAAGGAAGGAAGGAAGGAAGGAAGGAAGGAAGGAAGGAAGGAAGGAAGGAAGGAAGGAAGGGTGAGCTACATGATTATTCAGAGGGCCTCAGCGCCTGAGCAGGCAGGGAGGTCAGAGCCTGGGGAGTGGCTTTCGACCTTTAAGTGAACCAAGTGTCAGCAGCAGCCTAGTCACTGTCCACATCCTGAGTGAGGTCTAGACTTCAGAGTCCCACCTGCAGCTAGCCAGTTCCCAGACACAAGGGGAGAATCAGCATACACCTGAATGCCTGTCTACCAACCTGGACATTAAGACCCACCCCAGTGTCACCTCATGCCTTTAGTCTGACCCAGCTATACCTGGCCTCAGTCTGGGGGGGGGGGGGCCTCTGTAGTTCAGGTAGCCAGAACTACATTCCAGGTGTCCAATTCCCATGGCCAGTGGCAGGGTGATCTCCGGGGTGGATTGAGGGGCTGCTGTAGCAAGCATGAGCTCCAGACTCAGGACTGGGGCCTGATCACTGCCCTTCCCATCCCAGGATGACTCAGACAACAGCATTGAGTGTGTCAACGAGGAGAGGCGGCTGCACAAGAAAGTCTGCAATGTCAGCTACCCCTTCTTCAGAGCCAAGGCCAAGGTAGAGTGTGGGGGTCCAACAGGGATGGACAGAAACTGGGACCTAGAGAGCAGAGAGCAAACAGAGACCTATTTGCTTCTGGGGGGGCGGGGTTCTAAATATAGTTTCCTGCTGGGGCTGTAGCTCAGTTGGTAGAGGGCTTGCCTAGCATGCATGAAGCCCTGGGGCACCCTGTCACCCCAGCACTCATGAGGTGGAGACAGAGGCTAGGGGTTAAAGTCCATCTGCTACACAGCAAGTGTGAGGCCAGCATGGGCTACATGACACTCAAAAAAGAGGGGAGCTCCCCCATGGGGAGCTGCTGCCTTTGCACCCATAGTGGCCCCAGCTCACTATTCCACAGCCCCACTCCTCCTCCAGCCATTCTCTGTGGGGTTCTGAGGGTAGTCAGAGGTAGGTATGAGCCAGCACACCTCCAGGGCCCCCCACTCAGGCCCGCTTCTCCACAGGTGGCTTTCCGTCTGGACTTCGAGTTCAGCAAGTCTGTGTTCCTGCACCATCTTCAGATCCAGCTGGGTGCTGGCAGGTCAGGCCCACCCCTCCCTGACCCCCAGCAGCTCTGCCCTCACCCTCTGCTCTCCTATGCCCACAGTGCCCCATTGTCAAACCTGTTCCCTGACCCAAGCTGAGCAGGTGCAGGGAGGAGGGGTGGGGGGCTGCACGCCTACTAGCCTACAGCTCAGCTGTAACATGAGGGCCGGGCTTGTTGAGGGTTTCTGACCTGCCCAGTTCCCACAGCCAGTAAGCCCCAAAGAAAATCACACAGAGGTCTATATTAATGATAAACTGATTGGCCCATTAGCTCAGGCTTCTTGCTAACTCTTATAACAACCCGTTATTCTTATCTATGTTAGCCACATGGCTCAGTACCTTTTTCAGCAGGGCAGGTCACATCCTGCTTCTTCGGTGATCTGAGCCGGACTGGGAGGAATGGGCTTCCTCCTTCCCAGAATTCTCCTGTTCTCCTTGCCCCTCCTCTACTTCCTGTCTGGTTGACTCACCTATACTTCCTGCCTGGCCAATCAGCATTTATTTAAAACATGATTGACAGAATACAGACAATTCTCCTGCACCACTAAGCTACAAGTCACAATGGCCATTAGAACCTCTTCGGGTCCATCAGTCAGTTCACACAGCAGCCCCTCATAATTAGTGAGGTTGTGGGGACTTCCAACAATATCGCATGTAAACAGGACAGCTGGGATCTGGACACTTGGATCCACAGCTCATCTGGTGCCCCTGCAGTCCTGGTTACCTCTCTCGGTTTTAGTTACTTTTCTCATTGCAGTAACAAAATGCTTGGCACAAGGAACCGAAGGGAAGAGGGGTTTGTTTGGGTTCATAATTTGAGGACACAATCCATCATGGTGGGGAAGGCATGGCGGCTGGTACTTGGGGCAGCCCGTGCACAGCGCTTCTGCATCCGGGGAGCAAAAGTGAATGCTGTGCTCAGATCAAATTCTCCTTTTGATTCAATCCGAAAGTCCAGCCCAGGGAATGGTGCTGCCCACATGCAGGGCGGCTCTTTCTACCTCAGTTAAGCCAGCCTAGACAACCCCTCACAGCCAGGAGCAGGGTAACTCTCCACCCTGGCTGGTTGACTTTCAGTACAAACCATCATGCCCTCCTTGGGCATTTATCCTTTTTTTTTTTATTTATTTTTATTTTTTTGCATTTATCCATTTTTAAGAGAACTTTTCTTCTTCTGTGAGGGTTTGTCTGTCTGTCTGTCTGTCTGTCCTTCTGGCTTCCTGAAGGTAGCTTGCTCCAGGCTGACCAGTGAACCTCCCTAGGCCAGTGAGAAACTGTTTCCTTTCTCATAGAGTCACCTCTGTGTGAGATGGAGGGAGGAAAGAAGTGAGGACAGGCTGGCTTCTGTCCCCAGCCAAAATCCTTAGCTAAGAAGAAAGCCTCCAGCAAACCAAACATCAGTAGCTTTACCCGGTCACAGGCAGGCTGGGGACACCCATCACCAGTCTGTGCTGGTCACCAGCTATGCGTAAACAAACCCCCACATGTCCACAGAACCCTCAGTGGACTCAGGACTGAGTCTGCAAAGTGTCTTCGTATGCTGGGGCCTCCTGGCTCCTCCCTGGGCCAAAAGGTCCTCTTCTCACAGAGTGGGCACACTGGCACAGCAACATGCATGGGCGTTTGTCAACCAGGAATGGACAGAAGGGACAGAGACAGCAGTGTACTCTGAGGACCCCTTTCCTTGCCCCACCCCCTAGCCTGAAGAGTAGAACTTAGCTTATGTACAAGCTGAAATCTGGGGGTTTAACCTTTGTGGGTACCTGCCCTGGTGTTTGAGTACTGACTGTTAGGTGAAAGTACCTTAGACCATGCCCCCTCCAAGGGTTCCTTTGGCTTCTCCTGGCAAAGTCACCTATTATCTTAGGGAGCTGCACCCTGTGGGAACAGGAATCGGTGAGCTCCTCCACAGTAAACCCCACTATTCTTCCCAGGGCAGACTAGGTGGCTTTGCTCAAGGCTCGTCCTTCTCCCAGTCCCAAGTCCCTCCTCATCTTCAGCCCAGCAGCTGGGGAAGTTCATCAAGAAGATGGCACAGGCAGGGGGTGGCCATGAGCTACCCAAAGTCCTCCCTGACTGCCTGGCTACAGAGAGGGCTGGCATCCATTCCTGCCCCCGGCCCACCCTCCAGGAAACACCTCGGCTTTCCTTGATGGCCTGATCATACCCAGCAGCCTGAAAAGCCAGCACATCCTCCCTTCCACCTTCTATAATTTTTGTGCCAGTGTCCTCTCTGATCCCACCCCCTCCCCTTGTAGTGACAGTCACGAGCAGGAGAGCACCACCGATGACAACATGGCCCTCCTTCGCTTCCACCTCAAATACGAAGCAGACGTCCTCTTTACCAGGTGAGTTGGATATTCAACCGGAAGAGGGAAAGGGGGCCTGAGCTAGCAGGGACAAGTATGGGAGGAGATCCCCCCAGCACACAAGGCTGGAGGAGAAGTGAAAGACAGAACTCTTCCAAGTCAGTGCGGTGGGCCAGTGAGATGACTTCCAGAGGACCTGGGTTCGGTTCCCAGCACCCATATCACATGGCTCTCAACCACATTGGTCACTCTGGTCCCAGGATATCTGACACCTCTTCTGAATCCTGTAGGCACTGCATTCACAGACCTACACACAGACACCTAGGTACACATAACTCCAAACAAAAGAAATCTTTTAAAGTCAGTCTGTGTGGGGCCAGTGAAATGGCTCGTTGGGTAAAGGTACTGCATAAGCCAAGCAACCCCGGCTCAACCCGAGCTCAGTTCCTAGAGGCAGAGACAAGAGAGTCATCCAGAAAGCTCAGGGCTAGCTAGCCTGGAGTATACAGTACAGCAGCAGAAACAAGAGACACAGAGTCGGTCTGGGCTTGTAGTTTAGCTAGTAGAGGGCTGGCCAAGTGTGTGTAAATCCCCATTCCAACTATGGTACCATGTAAGTCAGATATGCCCATGAGCCCCCATTCCACCTACAGCACCATATAAACCAGACATACCATAATCCCAGCATACCAGAGGTAGAGGCAGGAGGATCAGACGTTCAGGGTACCCCATCTACCAAGCCTATGACTCCGTCTCAACACAGCGCCCCCTAGCGGCCACATAAGACACGGGGGGGGGGTGTCCCAGGAAATGGGCACGTGCCTGCCTCTCTCCTGCTACCTGTTTATCTGACTCTTCCCACACACGGTTTTCCCTTTATCTATGCAGGAGCAGCAGCCTGAGCCACTATGAGGTCAAGGCCAACAGCTCTCTGGAGAAATATGATGGCATTGGGCCTCCCTTCAACTGTGTTTTCAAGGTAAGGCTGAAGGGCACCTTGGAGTGAAGGGGCTGAACTGAAAACCCCACAGCCCAGTTGGAGGGGAAGAATCCTTGCAGGCCCTGGGGCTCGTTCTCAGCTCTGCCTCTGGTTCAATGTACAGCTTGTAGAAACAGTTACTTCCCCTCTCTGGGCTTCACCCTCATCTGAAAGACCCCCAGGCTGGCCTGGGGGAGTTATTAGGGTGTACAGAAAAGATTTTAAACATACAGAACAGCAGTTTAAACACACTAAGGTTTACTTTCCTGCAGAAAAGGAATAAAAAAAAAAACCTTGCTGTTTAGAGTTGATGGCTTTGCAGTCATTGAGGAATTTAAGAACATCCTAGACATGAGATAGATGATCGGCTTCATCTGTTGTCACAGTTCAGGCCCAGGCGGCAGGGGAAAGGAGAGAAGCACGTCCCTTCCTGGTAAAAAGTGTCCTTAAGCTGGGCGGTGGACTTTAATCCCAGCACTCAGGAGACAGAGGCAGGGGGATTTCTGTGAGTTCGAGGCCAGCCTTCTACAGAGTGAGTGAGTTCCAGGACAGCCAAGGTTACACAGAGAAACCGTGTCTCGAAAAACCAAAAACAGAAGAATCAGCTGTATCCCATATCTGCAGTTACCGCTTATGTCCATAACACGGTGTTTAGCTATGAGGGAAGTGGGAAGGGTGGCTTTTGATTTTGTCACTAAGTGAGGAAGGAGAACAGGGAGCAGCCGAGCAGCCTCTGCCACAAAGGACCCAGGGTTCCCTCACCCTGCACATGAGTGTCAGCTCCTCTGAAGTTGTGTGAGGGCTGGAGTGGGTTGACGGCTGAACACTGGGCTGCACCCAATACCCACACGGCTTGTGTTGCTCAAGGTCACACAGCCGATCCAGGGGAAGTCCGGAGCCATCTATCAGCCTCTCAGTCCCTAAAGCCCAGCTTGAAGTCTCCTGAATGTGTTCCCGCCAGGGAAACAACACACACTCAGTTTGATATCCTCTCCTGATTGAGTGACCCCAATATCTCCACTCTTGTCTCCATGGAGTCCCTCCTGCTCTAGAGGACTCTGTGGTAGGGGAGGTCGGTGATCTCCAGGATCGGCCCACTGAGCATACTCTAAGATCCCGGAACCCATCCTGTCAGTACCATCTTGCTTCCATAGTGCTAATAGCCAGGGCCTGCTGAGGCCTGTCTTTAGGGCTGACTGGTCCCCATAGGATCTCTGTCCCCATCCCTCAACTGCGCATGTGCTGACTCTCCTCTGGTTGCAGGTGCAGAATCTGGGCTTTTTCCCTATCCACGGGGTGATGATGAAGATCACTGTGCCCATCGCCACCAGGGGTGGGAACCGCCTGCTGATGCTGAGGGACTTCTTCACCGACCAGGTAGCTGTGTTCCTCAGGGGCCAACTTGGGAGAGAGAAAAGGAAACGGGCACACTCCTAAGCAACTCCCCCACCATCTGGGTGCTCCCAGGGCACTTAGCCTCTCCAGGTGGAGGAAGAAAAGGGGGAGCCTGGGTGAGGTTCAGAATTGTGTATGTGTGTGTGCCCTCCACGCAGGTCAACACGTCCTGTAACATCTGGGGGAACAGCACAGAGTACCAGAGTGCCCCAACTGAGGAAGACTTGAGCCGTGCCCCACACAGGGTGAGTGTCTCCACACTGAGAGCCAAGAATTGACAGGGGTTTCTGTCCCACCAGGTCCCACAGCCGTTTAGTCCCAAATAAACACACAGAGGTCTACATTAATCATAAACAGACTGGCCTAGCAGATCAGGCTTCTTATTAACTCTTATAACTTATATTAACCCATAATTTTTGTCTGTGTTAGCCACGTGGATTGGTACCTTTTTCAGTGAGGCAATCACACCTTGCTTGCTCCGTGTCTGGCTTCCTCTGTGTCTGGGTGACGGACGACTGCAGATTGACTCTTTCCGTTTCCCAGAATTCTCATGTTCTCCTTGCCCCGCCTCTACTTCCTACCTGGTCATCCGCCTATACTTCCTGCCTGGCCACTGGCCAATCAGCATTTATTTAAAATACAATTGACAGAATACAGACCTGTGTGTGTGTGTGTGTGTGTGTGTGTGTGTGTGTGTGTGTGTGTGTGTGAGGATATGTGCTATGGCACCCATGTGGAGGTCAGAGGACAACTTGCAGGAGTCACTTCTCCCTTTCCACCATATGGGTCCCAGGGTTCAGACTCAGGATTTGGTGGCATCCTGGCTGCATACCTTTGCCCACCGAGCAACCTTTGGAAGCCTGCTGCACTTCACCATGATCTAACCTTGGGCAGAGTTGGGAGGGTCCAGCGCCACCTCAGAAATAGCTTTACCCTAACAAAGTTCAATTGCTCCAAGATGAAGATCTTTGCATTTTCCATCCATTACTTTTTCCAAGTGATCCTTACAAAAGACTTTTCTTGTCGTATCGCTCCGGCTCCGACCACAAGAGCAGTGGGAACGGGAGTGATGGCAGGGTTGTGGGGAGAGTCTTGATCCTGTGTGTGATACATGCTCCGGGTGTGTGCAGGTGTGTACATATGGACAGATTGACTGACTGATTGATTGATGATTAAGACACTCTCTGGAGGTTTGCATCAGGAAGTTCAGCTCCCTGCAATACTTTTCTCCATCTATTGTGGTTATCTGCTACAGTTTCATTTCTCTTTTAAGCTGTTTATATGGTGATTATGCCAACTCCTTAATGTTGAGCAGAGGTTCTGTTCCTGGGACACTGGTCATTATGCACAACTTCAAAAGGAACTCCAAATACAAGGCTGTGGTTTGTCCCCAGTTGTCCCTTCTGTTCCCACACGCATCTCTATCCTCATCCCTGCCATCTGCTTCCCTCTCCCAGTGGGTCCAGCCTTGGGTCTGTCTGATGATCCATGCTCCTGCTCACATTCCAGGCCACGGGCCCTGTCCCCACAGCGCCCTGCTCACCCCCAACAACTCTCTTCCAGAACCACAGCAACTCCGACGTGGTCTCCATCACCTGCAACGTGAAGCTGACCCCCAACCAGGAAATCAGATTCTACTTGATAGGGAACCTGTGGCTGAGGTCTCTGAAAGCAGTAAGTTAGACCCCTTCAGCAGGGCCGGAAGGAAAGGAAGAAGTGGTTGTGGGGGATCTCCCAGCTGAGAGGGACAGGAACAAAGGCTCCCAGAGCCACCTCTGAGGAAGCCCTGTTTGTGCAGCTCAAGTACAGATCTCTGAAGATCACAGTCAATGCAGCCTTGCAGCGGCAGTTCCACAGCCCCTTCATCTTCCGAGAGGAGGACCCCAGCCGCCAGGTGAGCCCCGGGGAGTCCTTCACTCTGAGAGGGGAAGGGGGACCCAAGGTAGGGGCTGGGGAAATGGCTCAGCCAGTAAAGTACTTGCTATACAAGCCTGAGGACCTGAGTTTCACATTCAAAACCTGCAGAAACAATCCAGGGGCGGCTGTGTGTAATCCCAGCATTCTAGAGATTCTAGAGATGGAGACAGGTCCTTGAGCTTGGTCACCAGTCAGCTTAGCTCCAGACCAGTGAGAGACTGCCTCAAAAAGCGCACGCGCACATGCACGCATGCATGCATGCACACACACACACACGTGCACGCGCGCCCACACACGCCCGACTGGCAGAGGACAGACACACTGCCTTGGCACACCAGGCTCTGTGCTTTGTGCCATGGGGAAGATAAGAGGGAACAGTGAGACCAGACGCCCACACACATGTACCTAAGGGTAGCTCTCTCATGGGCTGCGCCACAGTGAGGCTGTCTGGGGCATGGTGGAGCCTCTCGCATCCCACCTAGCCTGGAGCCTCTGCTCTAAAGAAGTGCAAGCAGCAATGGGTGTGTGGTGGGAGTGGGGTGGAGATTGAGAGGCTTTAGTGCTCCTTTATAACCAGACAAAAACCACGTAAGCCTGGATGACCACGATTTCAAGGTAGAGAAAAAGAGGTGAGACTCTGGGAGACAGCCACTGTTGTAAACAAGTTGAGTCTTAAGAGAAAAATCAGTCTCTGGAAACAGAGCAGCTAGGCATAGGCCTCTGCTGCCCCCCACTGGCCATGTCTCAGAAATGCTGTTCTAAACTGTAGCCTAGCGTCCCCTCAGCTACACACCCCAGGAGAGGCTAGCTTACAAACCGGCAAGGTTACAGGGGTGGGGGAGGGAGGGAAACAGCCTTGGCAAAGGGACACCATCAGGCTCAGTCTCAATAAGGTGCAGCCTTCCAGACACAGGCCAGCAGGGGCCAAAGCCCGAAGGCTGTGCTCAAGACCCTCCTAAGGAACGGGAGAAGCTGTGGAAACTGAGGCCTTCAGGGTCAGGTTAGTGCCACATCCTGGTAGTCTGACCCACCCTGGGGCTCCAACCTAGGCCCTGTGTCCCCTGACACCTCTGCCTCTCTGAGGGAGCAGACCTTTGGGTCCATGTGTTCATTCATTCTGCATCTGATGGGGACCCGTCCCTCTGCATCTGATGGGGACCCATCCCTCTGCATCTGATGGGGACCCATCCCTCCCTCTTCCCTCACAGACTGGGCAAGCAGATTCAGATACGGCTTAGGGAGTTGAGCACAGTAATACCAATCATGGCAACAGTCCAGGGAACACCACAGCACTGAGGGCAGGAGAGGAACAGAGTGTCCAGGGAGAGCTTTCTAGAGATGGTCCTGTGAAGTTAATCTTCAACGTCATGTCAATTTTCCAAGCCCCCCCATTACCCATGCCTCTCCCCAATGTGAGTAGGTATTTCTTCTTTGTTTTTTCTTTTTTTGTTTTGTTTTTGTTTTTGAAACAGAATTTCTTTGTGTAGCTCTGGCTGTCCTGGAACTCAATCTGTAGACCAGTCTGGCCGCGAACTCAGAAATCTGCCTGCCTCTTCCTCCTGGAATCAAAGACGTGTACCACTACTACCTGGCTAGTGGACTTCCTAGCCCAGCATGTTCCCCCCGCCCCCCCAAAAAAAATCCTACTGCACCGAGTGTCTCACCCATAGAAAACCAGCAAGCCCATAGCAGGTCATGTAGTGCCCAGGGTGGCCAGGTCCACAAAACGAGGGAAGCCACACAAAGGCCCATGCATCCTTCAGGGATGAAACAAAGGCACTTAGGGGTCAATCCGTGTGCACGTGCATGCAGACCCACCCCCCATTTAAGGCCCATCCCCTCCCGTCTCAGATGCGAACGCTGCGGCTGTGTGAGGCTGGGGATGAGCAGTGACAGGAGGCGAGCACCCTACCGCCCAGTTAGCTGCTGTGGCTAAGTCTCTGCCTCACTCCAGGCTCTGAGGACAGGTCAGAGGGCAAAGATGAGGAGGTCCCACCCAGGCCACCTTGGCAGTGCTGCCGCCTGTTTTCTGGCTTCCTTCCCAGAAAAGAAAGAAAGAAAGAAACCCACACGCCAGAGTGAAATCCAGACTGGTTTACATGGGAAGCTAGGGAAAGCTCCTCCCTGCAGAGACGGTAGCCCAGCACCACGGGGACATGGAAGCGTGTGTCGATATCTGGGGGTCAGTCACTCAAGACCAGAGGAAACAGCGCCATAGCAGCATGGACAGGCGTGAGGAGGCCATGGGTAGAGGGCTGGGACAGAGTGAGGTCATCGAGATGGGACAAGGACCACTTCCCCTAGATGAGATGAGAAGCTGTGAGGTGCTGAGTAGAGGCCATTGTCACCCAAGTGCAAGTGTCCCTCATACTACACTGCCAGCTGAGGAAAGGCAGCAGGGGTGAGACTGAGGTGGAGAGGTTGCTGCAGACTCCGGGAGAAGAGGAGAGGAGGAGAGCCGGGAGACAGCAGGGGCCGCCACATGCTGGGTGTTTCAGAGCTGGAGTGAGAAGGTTTGCTGATGGCCCATTGGGTGTCAATGACAAGCGGGTAGGAAGAGTGCTACCACTGACCGCTAACAAAGACGTGATGGAAACAGATCTGGAGGCGAGGGAGTCGCAGTCAGGTAGGCAGCCAGATATGTCCAGAGTGCAGAGGAAGACAGAAGGGAGACCAAGGTCACAAGCATAGTGAATGCCACCCAGCTGGGCAAGTTCACCAGCTCATAGTGGTTCCCATGGCACCAATGGTACCCTTGAAGGTCCTTCTTCATTTGAAAAAAAGTAATTATTTCTTTATAACTTTTGGTCTGACAACAGATGGAAACAATCCAGGATAAACTGTTTATTTTTTTAAACATCTATTTTAGTGTTTAAAAATATATTGTGTGTTGGGCAATGGTGGTGCACCTCCTTAATCCCAGAACTCCAGAAGCAGAAGTAGAAAGATCTCTGCAAGTTTGAAGCCAACCTGTTCTACAGAGAAAGTTCCAGGAAAGCTGAGCTACACAGAGAAACCCTGTCTTGGGGGAAAAAAGAAAGAAAAAAAAAAGGCGCACGCGTGTGTTATGTGTGTGTATACATGTATGCACTCATGTGTAAAAGTGCTTGCAGAAGCTAGAAAGCAGCATCAGATATCCTGGATCTAGAGTTACAAGTGGCTGTGACCTGCCCAAGGTGGGGTGTTAGGAACCAAATTTGGGTTCTTTCTTTCTTTCTTTCTTTTTCTTTTCTTTTTTTTTTTTTTTTTTTTTTTTTTTTTTTTTTTTTTTTTTTTTTTTTTTTTTTTTTTTTTTTTTTTTTTTTGAGACAGGTTCTATGTTGTCCTTGTCCTGGAACTTAATATGTAAGCACCATAATGGCATTTAACTCACAGAGATCTACCTACCTGCCTAAGCCTCCCAAGTGCTGGGGTAAAGGCATGCACCATCACCAGACCCAGATTCTTTTTTTTTTTCCCCTTCATCTAAGTTTAGAAACAACTAAGGGTTTGCTGTGTAGCTCAGTTAGTGGAATACTTGCCTAGTGTACACAAACCCTTGACTTCAGTCCTCAGGATCACACAAACCAGGAGTGGTGATGGCACACACCTGTAATGCCAACCCCTGGAAGGTAGAGACAGAAGGATCAAGAATTCAAGGTCTGGGGCTAGGGAGATGCCTTGGTTTGTAAGGTGTTTGCCACACAAGCACAGAGACCAGAGTTCAGTTCCCATGTCAAGCAGCACTCAGGGCGGGGCAATGGAAATCCACAGCTGGGAGGTCAGGGAGGGAGACTCCATGAGGTTTGCTGGCCCTGCAGTCTAGCCAAAGCAGGCCAGTGAGAGACCTGTCTCCAAAACTGTTCAGGTGTAGAGACTGAGGATGACACCTTTTGTCGGGGGGGGGGGGGGGGGGGGGGGAGGGAGGGAGGGGGAAGGGAGGGAGGGAGGGAGGGAGGGAGGGAGGGAGGGAGGGAGGGAGGAAGAGATAATTGGAACAGCTTCCCAGGCTGCCTGTACACAACCCTGAGTTCCCCACGTGACCCTGGGGGCTCAGAAACCACACATGCAACAGACCATCACTGGGAAACGAGGAATCGCCAGGAGGACTAATGAAGAGTATGTAAAAGAACCAGCGGGAGCAGATGGCTCACGGAGCATGGCTCACTGAGACCGTTCTCCCAGTTACACGTATACTGCGCAGAGCTGGCTGTTCCGAGACCATGGCCAGCTGCAGAACCTGTCCCTCCCTACATCTCCCAAAAGAACAGATGCAGCTCCTTTCTGCAAGTGTGCCACCTTCTGCCCCTGGGCTGCCCAAGCCCTGCAGTTGTGACAGTATTGCCCTGGCTCCCTCCCCTTGCAGGTCACATTTGAGATTTCCAAGCAAGAAGATTGGCAGGTCCCCATCTGGATCATCGTGGGCAGCACTCTGGGGGGCCTCTTGCTGCTGGCCCTGCTAGTCCTGGCACTGTGGCAGGTAAGGTTCCTATCCCTGGAAGCTGGCGCTGCCCCGCCTCCCCCAACTGCTTGCCTGTTCCTAGGACACCAAGCCCCTTCCACAGCAGGCAAGACTGGTCAGGGCCCACAGAGGCGACTTCAACTATAGTTCCAGGTCTGTGGGGTTCCTCTTAGCAGAAAACAAATAAACAGAACGGGCAATGAAACTACATATTCCCTCCATCTCAGAAGCTCTGGTTGAGAACTTGGAGTTTAAGCTCCTGCTACAGATAGTGAGGGGGCCCAGAGAGGGATGTTAACTAGGGCTGCGTGACACAGCATGACTTCTAGTCTCCTGCCCAGGGCTCCATCCACCTGGCTTTAATCCACACACTCAGTTTGGGAGTAGGGGTACCAAGAATGAGCTGGGGTATTTAGAGGTGTCCTCTTAGGGAGCAAATATGAGGGGGCTAGTGGAGGACCAGCAGAAGGTGACACAAACGTCCTCTAGTCTGTCCACCCCTGAGACTTTCCACCTTTGCCTCCCCACAGCTCGGTTTCTTTAAAAGTGCCAAGCGCAAGAGGGAGCCTGGACTGGGCCCTGTCCCCAAAGGGCTGGAGTGAGGATCTATTGGAGGCTTCGCATTGATGGGGGCCAGGCACCGGTCCAGGAGCTGCAGGCCCAGGCCTGTGGCCCCACAGAGCTGGGGCAAAGAGGATGCCTGTGGACTTTGTGTTGAGCTCATCTCTGGAGAGATGGTGCCTGATCCCTGTGGGATGAACCGCAAGCCCATGTTCGCAGCAACGTCTCTCCAAGAGGTTGAGTACTGATCCCTAAGGACTTAAAGGGACCGCTCCAAGACCCGGGCTTTGTGGAGGGAATCTGCTGCCCCAAACACTAAGGTGCTAGGGCTCTGTTATCATGCCCACCTCTGAAGAAACCCAAAGGGAAAAGCGGCAAATACAAGCCCACTGTGCACGCCCCAGCTGGACCTCTAGTTTCAGGACTCCATAGCCTGGCAGCATAACCTCCCTCTCACCATGTGGTTCCCAAGCCACTGCCATCCCTTCTCCAGACCCCAAAGTTCTCCAGAGTTGTGTGGCTTGATGTGGCAACTGCAGGCCAGTGGTGAAAGCAGACATTTGAGGACTGTGCCAGATGAGTAGGTGGGAGCCAGGATGCTGGGTACCTTCCAAACATCAGAAGGCAGCAGCGGAGCTCTCCAGCAGTGACTACCACCCACACACTCCTGCCCTCCTGCCTCCCTGAAGCTCCTGCCAGCTCCTTTGGTTGCTAGGCAACTCCCGGGGAGCCTGTGGAGGATATCAGTCCATGGCTCTCCACACCCACTTGTCTTACAGCTGCAGCTTGTCCTGGCGCAGATGCACTGAGGTGGGGAGCCTCTGTTCCTTGCATCAGCCCCCGACACACACACATACACAGACGCGCGCACGCGCACACACACACACACGCATGCACACGTACACACAGGCGCACGTGCATACACCTCCCACCCACGAATGTGTGGGAGAAGGGCTCCTGGAGGGGCACTGTGGAGGGGCCCTCTTTGGCATGCACTGAACAAAGCCCATGCAAGGCCCCTCAGAACCTTAAACCTCAGAGGCAGACAGCTCTCTCACCTGCCAGCTCTATGAACAAGCCCTGATGACAAGGGGCATGCCAGGTGCCCAGCAGAGTAATTTATGCCTTAGCCCTTTTTGTTGAGACAGAAATGGACACCTCAAAGCCATCTGCTCCCCTGTGCAGTACAACCTTTACTGTCAGAAATATATTTAAGAAAATTTTCTAAAAGGTGTTTAAAAACAACCAACAGACATTCCATTTTGTGACAGAGCAAGGCCAAATTCTGCTTTAAAGAGGAAAGGGAGGTGGGTGTCTACTTCTATCTAAATGTTGGGCACAGTCTTCTCCATTGTGTGGCCACCTCTCTCCCAAGGACTTCCTAGCCTCACTCGCTAGAACATCTAGGTGTTATGGTAGTGGGGCCCTCTCCCCTCACCAGCAGCACCCACCCCATCTTTGGCCAGTTTCTCCAGGCGGGGCCTTCAATGTCACCCCTCCCACACACGCACGCTGGCTTCTCTTCTAGAGAGGTTAACTCTTCCCCAAAGCATCCCAACTCTATTCCCGTGCCGTTCCCTTTCCACAGCCCCAACTAACAACTTACAAAGTATTTGGATGTTTCTTCAGATTCTTTCGTGTGTGTGAACGTGCATGCATGTGTATGTGTGTGTCTATGTGTATGTGCACATAGGTGCCCAAGAAGGCCAGAAGAGGGTGGTAGCACCATTCTCCACAGCAAAATCAAGACTCAATCCAGGAATGCCATCTCCCCAGCTCCAGAAGAGCTAAATTGGGGGTCAAAGGTCAAACAGTGAAACTAAACCCCCGAACCTAGAAGTTCATTTCCCTCTAACAGAGTATCAGTAGCTGCCCTTATGATTGAGGTCACTGGAGAAAGGAGAATGGACCAACCCACACACAAAAGCATGTTATCACTGGGTAATGGTAGCACACACCTTTAATCCCAGCACTCGGGAGGCAGAGGCAGGCGGATCTCTGTGAGTTCGAGGCCAGCCTGGTCTACAGAGCGAGTTCCAGGACTAATTCCATTGCTACTGAGAAACCCTGTCTCGAAAAACGAAAGAAAGAAAGAAAGAAAGAAAGAAAGAAAGAAAGAAAGAAAGAAAGAGAGAAAGAGAGAGAGAGAAAAAGAAAAAAACATGTTATCAAGACAGGAGTGATGGCGCACACCTTTAATCCCAGCACTCAAGGGGCAGAGGCAGGCAGATCTCTGTGAGTTCGAGGCCAGTCTAGTGAATAAAGTGAGTTCCAGGACTGCCAGGGCTGTTGAAAAACAAACAAACAAACAAAAAACAAGAGGACTCAGCTGGTCTCCTCTCCAACACTGGCAAATCTCAGCAGAGTGCTGCCGTGGGAAGCTGGCATCAGCAGGCAGGTGTGTTTTTGGAAACTGACACCTGTGCTATGATGTTTAACTGCTCCAGTCACAACCTCTGGACTGAGGCAGACAGTCCCAGGGCTCCCATCCCATCATGTCCCCTGTCTACCCCTAGACCAACTAATCGACAAAAGGCAGATGAATCAGGCCCACCTGTACCTCCTCAACCTTCACCCTTAACACTCTCTCCTTTTTCTTAATTCTACCTTTCTGAATCCGTTTATTCGTAAACAGAAATGTCCAAGACTGGCCACGGCAGTGCTTTCACTGTAGAGGGAACAAAGCCTCACCTAAGGGGCAAGGGCCATGGTCCCTGGGACTCTGATCCAGGACATCACCTGGTGAGCAAAGCCGCTGTGGGTGGCCTGTGCTGAGCTGAGCTCCCAGGCAAGTGACATGACAGACAGCCCAGCAGAGGACAGGGATTCAGCACACACGGGCAGCTCTCTGGGATGGATACTGGAAACTGTTTCATGCTCAAAGTTGGCTATGGTAACCCAGCCCTGGCCTAATCGGGAAGGCCTTGTGGTTACTCATGGCAAGTCTGCAGGGTGCGGCTTACGGTAGATTTCACCCCACCAAAGTCCTGAGAGCCCCAGTGACACTGGAAGGGTTTGGGCACATTTGCTGTGACTGGGAAGGGAGCTAAGCATCAGGCTAATGACATCCACCATTAGAAAGAAGCTCCCTCAAGGGCAACCTTGAATCCACAGCGAACCTAGTATAGTGGCACGGCAGCAGACACCTACAATCCTAGCACCGAGAGGTGAAGGCAGGAGGATCAGCAGGACAAGGCAGATAAGTTTAAAACCAGCCTGGGCTACATAAAACCCTGTCTCAAAACGAAACGCTAAAGTCAGGCATAGTGGCGCACGCCTCTAATCCCAGCACTCTAGAGGCAGGGGCAGGTGGATCTCTGTGAGTTCAAGGCCAGCCTGATCTACAGAGTGAGTTCTAAGAAAGCCAGAGCCACATAGTGAAACCCTGTCTCAAAATTAATTAATTAATAAAGGAAACACTGTATAGCTCACAGGTAGGGATTAATAACTGTGGTCTAGCTGCTAATTCATAATTTTCAGTCAGGGGCATTACACAACTGTACTCCCAGCTCAGGAGGCTGAGGTCTCAAGTTCAAGAACAACCTAAGCAACACACTAAGACCATCTCAAAAACTTTTTTGAAACATTGGTCATAGAGCCCAGAGGTAGAGTACTTACTAAGCACATTCAAGGTCCCAAGTTCAACTCTTCAATCCCCAGTACCATGAAAAATAAAATTCAGATGAAATTACTAGGAAATAAAACTAACTTAAAATGGTTCTTTGAAGAGAGCATTCATTACATGACCAGGCTGAACGCACTCTAAAGAACATGTATGGAGCTCCTATGGTATTGGATATATAAATAGGTCTGCAGTAAAATCAAGTATGGCTTCTACACCAAACTACCATTGGAGGTGGGGGGGGGTGCAGTGATGGGGAGGACATAGCTGTCAGGATTTCTGAGGTCTCAGCTTGCTACCTAGTAGAGGAAACAGCTGCAAGTAGCTGAGAAGCAGAGGGACAAGACATGCCGGGGGAGGGGAGACCCACTCCTGTCTGGATGAGGACAGCCTTCAGAAGATGCAGAAGCTGAGGGTCAGCCCTGGGTAGACTTGGGAGAGACTTCTATAATGTTCTGGGAAGTAGGTATCATTTATTACCCCTCAGTTCCCGTATGCTGTGAGCTGGAAGGAGGAAGCCCTCCAGAAAGCTTCTTTCTGGCATTAGATGCGGAGGCCTGTGCGCTGAGGGAGGAGTGGGCCTCATGCCTCAGAAGGCAGGTTGTCTAGGCTGAGGTTCAAGCGTGGTTCCAGAGTGGCCTCAGTGACTCACAAGGGCCACCCAGGCCTCACAGGCGCAGCCTCTGGGAGGTCATTCTTTGCACACTGACCTTTTCCTAGCGTCTAGAACCATCAGCATTTGTTCCCTGATTCAGTGTCTGTTTCCTACACAGCCTGTCCTTGCGGCTTTCAGCTTTGCTCAAGCCTAACTGGGGGACACAATAGTCTATAAAAGCCCCAGGAGCTGACAGGAGGTATTACTTGTGCTAAGAAAGGTGGTGGTTCTCAGGAGGGACCAAGCACAGGCTGGACACATGCAGAGGCAACAGAGAAGCAACATGGAGTGCAGCCTGGGAGGCAGGCCTCTCCCGCCCGAGGTCAGCACGAGGAGGCATCTCCACGGCCACTCTGTTCTCCAAGAATAAGAGGCTGGAATTGAGTCAGTCCCTCTGGCTTCAAGTTCCAAGACGGCAGTGTGTGACAGAAACAACTGGCTTCATTATATCCCTTTCCTGGCATAAGTCACTGCCAATTTCATCTACCAGACAAGGGATAACCAGGCCTTTCTCCCTCCCACAGGTACTCTCTGTAGTTAGTGAGTCCTCATTAACTGATGGAAGAGAAAAGTCCATCTGCTTTTTTCACCAAAATTTAACACCGGCAGACTGTCCCCAAGTGAGACTTCATGACCTGGGTTTTCTGTCATATTGTGGCCTTCGAGAGCAGGTACTGCAGTTTGCCCTCACCCTGTCATGTCAGTATACAGATGTTACCCAAAACAATGAAAAACATGCCCTGAAATCTCAAAGCCACAGGATTCTTCAGGCAAGGGCACAATGCAAACCTGCAGCAGCCTCACAGGAATCAGGGCCATCCCCGGTCTCAGAGCAAGGACAGTACCATGGCCAAGAGACATTCCACTTCCCATCCTGACAGTTTGTAATGTCTGGGCCTGAATCCTCAATTATAAAATGAAAGGCTGATCTTTTCAGATCTCTATATTCAGGTGGCCAGCACAAATCTAAGCCTGATCTAACATATTAACACTTAGAAATGTGTTATATACAATTATTAAACAACTGAATATGTTAGAACTGAGAGAGGGAAAGAGGGGGTGGAGAAGAACAAGAAGAAATTGAGCCTAATGGCACAGACCTGCTATTCCAGCTACTCTGGAGGTTGGGGCAGGAGGATCCCAAGTTCAAGGCCTGCCTGGACTACCTAGTAAGACCATCTCAAACAAAAAGTAAAAAGAAGCTGGAAATAAAGCCCAGGGTAACCTTCCCTACAAGCCTGAGACCCTAGGTTCAATACCCAGTCCTGAAAAAGTAAATTAAAAAAGCAAGTTTTAGAAACCTCTGGGTATAGACATTTTTGACTCGACTAAAGGGATGTATCTGTCTTTGGGGGGGTGGGGGGACTCGTGCATCTATAATCCCAGTCCTCAGGAGGCAGAGGCAGGAGGCAGAGTTCTGTGTTGTGTCGGGTACTGGGTTCGTGCAGATCAGTGGAAGACACAGGGTCACTCTAGGATGATTTTTACCCTTTGGGGCCACAGGGACTCAGGTTCTGGCAGACTGACTGTAGCTTTGCAAAAGGCTTTCTCATTGTTATACAGTTTATACCTCAGCAAGTCAATTTCCACACACCAAAACCTCATATGTGAAGCTCCACAAAGGAGACAAATGCCAAAGCAATTCTCAGCCCCGAACCTCTTGGAGTTCTGCACCCAAGTTTTGCAAGCCTGTGCTTCCAGCCCAACACAGCAGAAGCGAGAAGAACCCAACAATTTACTTTATAATTCACATCGATGGGAAGTATTTCCTTGGTCAGCAGAATACCTGTATCAAATTAAATTTTTGGTAGATCACAAATTTCAGCCAGGGAGCTGGAGAGATTGTTCCACAGTTCAGAGTACTTACTGCTCTTGCAGAAAACCTGAGTTTGGGTCCCAGCACCCAGACAGGATGACCCACAACCACCTGCAACTCCAGTCCCAGGGGATTCAACCATCCTCTATAACCTCCTTGGACACCTATATGAATGTGGATCCTGTAATTCACACAGGCACACACATAATTTTAAAGTCAGCCTCTTTTAAAAATTTAAAAGAAAGAGAATGAGAAAGGAGGAAAGGAAAGCCATAAAAGCTTGTGTATTTCAAACAAAGAAAATACAAATTAAAAAGATGTTCTGGTCTTGGAATGAAGACAGCCTGACAGGCAGGATAAAAAACCTCAGGAATCCAGTAAAACAAATTATGGTAAATTTAACAAAATAAAAATGTAAACTTGACCAGCAATATGGCTCAGTGGGTAAGACACTTGTCTCCAAACCACGACCTGAGCTCAACCCTCACATGGCAGAAAAAAAATTACCTGACTTCTTAAAGTCAGTTAAGACCTACACACCACACACACACTTATACACATTCACACTCACACCACACACTCTCTCATACACATACACACTCACACACACGTAAAATGTACTTTTAAAATGTAAAGTTCTAATATAACTTTTTAAAAAATTAATTACTAAATGAGAAAGAAAACTCCTTAAGCTTTCACAAAACTTCTAATAACCAAACAGTCACAACCACAACACAAAGAAAACACTGTGTTAAAGAAGCACACATAAAATATCAAAATTATTCATTAATCACCCTGGCAAAACTAAATGAGGTAATATCTAGTGTCTGTCAATACAGGAACAGGAAAGACAGCAGGAAACTTAACAGTCTATCAGAGCTGTAAACGCATTTAGACACGTACAGCAGACCCAACGGCAGCAATGGGCGTCAGGGACTGTACGTACGTGAGTGTTCACTATCTCATCACTTAGGAGATGAAACCTGACGGCCCACCAGTAAGTCTGGGTAAACAAACAGACTTTAAGATCATATAGAGAAGTAAGTGCTATGAAGCTCTATTTCTTAAATGCACATATATGGAAATGAAAACATGCTTAATATATTAAATAAACATGAAGTCCACTGCATTTTCAAGTGAAAAAAACATATACACCACAACAAACTTATGGGAAGCTACTCAAAAGATGTTTTGTAATGATTGGCTCTACAGAGTCCAAACGGGACACAGGAAGAGCTTTTTTTTTATACAGGATTTTCCCACACACATATAGTTTCAACAACCCTTTTCAAAGAAACTCAACAAAAGATCTCACATTGAACAATAAAGACACAAACTTCAAGATACTTTTTTTTTTTCAAACATTTACTGAACACAACACCATTTTTCCTTTTACACAGCAAAGTTGTTAGTTTCAAATTAGCTGAGCCATTAGGACTGTCAACTGCCATGAAATCAAATGTGATTCTACATGTCAAACTCAAACAGAAGACATCATGCAATATATAAATCACTGATAGACCTCAGGTGCAGTCAGCAAGGTTACTATGCTTATTAAAGTCACATCAATGGCTCGACAAGAGTGCACGACAGAATGACATCACTGGCTGGCAATAAACCATGGTGAATTACTAGACTACAACTATGTAGCTCCTCTGCACCGAGGACGGCAGGTTGTGGAACATTACAAAGGACAGTCTTTCCAATAGGTTAAGGCCAGATTTTAGTCCCCAGCTATGTACCTCTGAAAAGACTGGTTAGGAAAGCTGGGGGAAAAGGGAGGGGTCCCTTCATCTTTTCTCCTCTACCAATTACTGAGCAACAACAAAAAAAGCCATGCACACATTTTACAACACCCGATAAGAGATACAAAACCTGTTTCCTCGCCTTGCAGGCTTGCATCCTCGTGCCTTCATTTTTCTGATGAGGCCACTCATCCCATGATTCACCCCTAAAGGAAAGCTGACAGTAGTTTAGCAGTAGTCACCCCTTGAACACATCAAAGATATACTCCCCATAACCATCAAGCCACTGTCCCTTCCCAATACACTAACACAAAGGTACACTCCACAGACCTAGGACTCTAGGAACCACGTTTACTTTACATTTGTAGAAACAATGTATCAGCATTGTCACTAGAGGGTTTGTTCCAGATCCCAGGGTTGGGAAAGAGGATGTTGTATGCCCTAACCCATCTCAAGGTTTGGGCACGTCTACTAGAAACATCTAAGGAAGCCCCTTTGTGTATTTACATAGTGAGAGGCTGTCAGATGATATCCAGAATGGAGCCGTGCACTTTCAAAGTGGAGTGGGCACAGCTTAGAATCTGGACTGAAATCAGTTCACAGAGCAGAAGGCAGCGCTGAAGGTCTTACTCCTCCCTATGAATGTTGCAGGAGTCTCGTCAGTGAGAAGGGTGCGCTCCTGAGCGCATAGACTCCTGGGTAGCTGATAAAGCACTTCAGATTTTTATAACTGTCATAAGGAAGCATAGATAATTTCATCCACCTACTCAGAGATCAGCCACTGGCTGCTTCTCAACCAGTATTGGGCAGACAACTCTTTCCTCTGGCTGCCCTACTCCAA